CACACAGATATACTGACACACAAAGACATACTGACACACACACACACTGACAGACATACTGACACAGACATACACTTTAAAACCCACCCTCCAGTTTCCTACCTTTCCAGCTGGTGGTTGAAGGTGTTGGGAGTTGGGGTCTAGCGCTCTCGGCCAGCCCCCCTCCAATCTGCCTACTCTTCTTTCCCGCGTGCTCCTCTCTTTGTGGGAGGAAGTGATGCGCGGCCGTCACTTCCTCCCAGCCTGCTGCCGAAAAGCAAGGGGCCCACTCGCGCTGTTAAAGCGCCTCAGCGTGTGACTAGGCCTCTGCTGACAGAAGCCCACCGGGTGGTCCTTTGTGCATGGGCCACCCGGTGGGCCTCCTTAGTGTGCGGATTACCGGCCAGAGGGTTAGAAATAGTTGAGGCCTGCAGGGCTCACAGTGCAGCTGGCCAGTTTGCCCTGCGTATACGAGCTATTATATTTTATATGTTCATGAGTAGTTTATGGTATTGTGTATGATACATATGAATGTGGGCTGTGTATGGGGGCTGCTTGTGGAATTGTGTGTGTGTGTGTGTGTGTGGATGGATATGTCACAGTGTGTGTTTGGTAGTGTGTAGGGGCTGTTTGGGGTATTGCATGTGGGGTTGTGTGCATATATGTGGATTGTTAGTGGTGTTTCGTTTGAGGGGATTGTGTGCATGTTTGTATGTGGGCTGTCCGTATTATTTGTATGAGGGGAGGGTTATTCTGCATTTCTGTGTGTATCTAGCAGTGTGGGTGGCTTCCATTGGGGACTAGGCTGGCCAGGTACATGTCAAGGACAGGAGCTGCAACAGCAACTGTGAGCTGCTCTACTACAGTGTGGATTCCTATTCACAAGTGCTGAGATGAAGTGTTTCGAGATCACTACCTCTACGTGCTGCAATGCATAAATTAAGGATTGTCCTTCACCACCTTTTCTGATTAGCAGATATCTGAAGTTTTACTGGGACTCCTGATAGGCCAGAGCCTGTTTGGCTCTAGCAGCCTTGAGTGCCGTGCAAAGACACCACGAGAGCCGTGCATGGCACTAGTGCCGTAGGTTGCCTACCCCTGCCCTAGTGCTTTGGTGGCTAAATGGAATTGTATGTCTGCAGATATTTTCCAACTTCAAGTGGAAAGCCTTCTCCAGTGAAGCTACTATAGTAGCAGCTGTGTGGGTTTGGAATGATAACAATGAACCTGTATCCAGAGTAATCGGAGCCATTTTCACCCATTCTCAGTTTCAGGGTGAAGCCCATGTGAGAAGCTGGTTGATTTATTTATTATCATTTTGAATATCTCCTCTGCCCAGCCCCGCATTATGTCTCGAAAGGCCAGCAAGCAGCCCATGTCTTCTCTGCAATCAGATAACAAAATGTCTGCTTTCTTTAAAAGGAATACATGGCTCTTGGAGAATTATATGCCAGGCAAATCCCTTCTGCTGCTTTGATTCAATTGCTTGTTTATAGAAATAAGCAGAGATTGCAGTCTGTACCTGCAGAAGACATAATAACTTGGTGATCCTTCTTTATGGATGAGCACCTTCCAAGTCAAAAAGTAGATGTAAAAAAATATCTAGTACTAAATCCTAGTGATCACTAACGAGGAAGACGAATACCAGTATTTACTTCTAAGTAAACTAACGCATCTTTTACAGAGAATAAAGAGGTAGTGGAAGGTAGTGGAAGGTAGTGTTGGGTCAGCTGAACAGTTTTGAGCATAGATTCCCATGCTACAATGAGATATCACATATGGTCACACTACAGCTAAAGATTTATGCAAATGATTCAATGACAATACGTCTTTATCACTTTTATTTATTGACCGATTAAAGGAACAGTATAAAAAAAGATATGTTTATATTCACCTGTGTTCCTTTATCTGTTTAGATTTAGGTGACTGTAAGCACTGAGTCAGATTCCACACAGCAGCCTGATCATTCTGTTGTGTCAAACTTGGTGGCTTTTGTCCAATCAAATCTTTTCCATACAAAAACAGTGACAATGTGTGGCTATTGCAAGTCCAGTTTTTCTCAATGAGAAGCATTGCATGCATAACTGTCGACTAGTATCGGCATGCAATTATCACACATGGAAAGCAAGGGAGCTTTAAACTGGGCCAAAATTGGCCCATTAATGAAAGGTTAAAGGGCATAACATGACAAGTCCTGCTAAATTTAGATGTGGACCCCATCCAAAAACAAGGAAAGTCAAGGGTCTTTTTTTGACTGCTCTCCACATGCTCTCGCTTTTGGCAGATGGAATAAAGTATTAAAACTATGTGATATAGGAGAACAGAATGTGAGGATTAGCTGACTGCAATTAGTTAAGATAAAGCTGACTTTGCGCACTGTGCAACTGCTCTTGCTGCGTCGGTCTCTCTAACACCGTGGCATGTTCCCTTTCTTCTACACTCACTATGTTCACCTTTCCTCTGTCCCAGACTAAATACCAGGAGCTTCAGCCTGCTAGTAAGAAGGCAAGGAGAGGAGTGGGCCAGCGAGTGCTCATGGACAGTCCCCAGAAAGAATAGAGCTAGCGCATCTTTAGACACATTTACGCCAAGCTCAGAGTGCTCTCTGCCTAGCCTGCCCTTAGTTGGTGAACCTGCATGATTGGCAGGCAACCTGACGTGCGTGCATGGCCTTTCTGGGCATGTCCGTCGGTTATGTGATTCGCTTCAGTTTCCCAACCTTTTGCCACGCCCACCAACCTCCTGCTACACTATACGCTGCTGTTAGGGGATATGGTTGTGCTTGAGAGATGAAAGCGATAGATTAGCAAAGGGTACATGCATTAAAATGCATGCATATATTCAGTGGGGATTTCTACTTTTTTTTTATTGATTTCTACTTTTCTAATATGGGCAGTGGAGTGTTCCTTTGGTTTCTGTGGGTCATATGTGTTGGGCTTAGTATAACAAAGTTTTATTTAAATTTATAAATGAGTCGGTGAAGATACTCTCAAATTGGACAATCAGCTGCTAGACAATCAGACTAGATGGGCCGAATGGTTCTAACTGCCGTCACATTCTATGTATCTATGTAAAATGTGTGATCTGCCATTTGTGAGATCTTCTTGTGATGTGCTGGTTTGAATGAGATAGCGTCATTCAACACTTAAGGCAACTTCAAGCGTCTTTATTTCTCCAAACTTTCAGTCAGGTGAGAGTAGCTTAACCGTAATTATATTCTTCTGGCAACAGGGGGGACAAATCTGCCAGCAAGACTCTGTTCTCTGCTAATCGCTTTACGAGGATAAGTAAGTGATATGAAAAAAAATCAATTATGATAAAATTATGTTTATTATTTTTCTTGTCAAATGGGTAAAATCACTTGTCTGTGAGAAATACACTCTATAATGGATCTATGTGGAAATGTAAAATAAAATAATAATTTCACCAGGGACAACCAGGGGGGCTTATGTGTTAAATTATTTTGCAGCTGTTACTTACATTCATCATAAGTTTATTTTTAGATGTAAAATACTAACAATGAAAAATAAATCCCCTCATCTACTGCAAGTAGCCTTCACAAATGCATTCAACATTACTTTCTCAAAGAATATCTATAAATAGAACCGTCATGGAAACAAGCTAACCAGAAATCTAAGCATCTTCACAACGGTGTCAAACCTTTACAGTATGGACTCTGAGTGCTACTCCATTGTTTAGAACCTTTACAGTATGGACTCCGAGTGATACTCCATTGTTTAGAACCTTTACAGTATGGACTCCGAGTGCTACTCTATTGTTTAGAACCTTTACAGTATGGACTCCGAGTGCTACTCCATTGTTTAGAACCTTTACAGTATGGACTCCTAGTGCTACTCCATTGTTTAGAACCTTTACAGTATGGACTCCGAGTCCTACTCCATTGTTTAGAACCTTTACAGTTTGGACTCCGAGTGCTACTCCATTGTTGTGAACCTTTACAGTATGGACTCCGAGTGATACTTAATTATTTAAAACCTTTACAGTATGGACTCTGAGTGCTACTTCATTGTTTAAAACCTTTACAGTATGGACTCCGAGTGCTACTCCATTGTTTAGAACCTTTACAGTATGGACTCCGAGTGATACTTCATTGTTTAAAACCTTTACAGTATGGACTCTGAGTGCTACTCCATTGTTTAGAACCTTTACAGTATGGACTCCGAGTGCTACTCCATTGTTTAGAACCTTTACAGTATGGACTCCTAGTGCTACTCCCGCGTTTAGAACCTTTACAGTATGGACTCCGAGTGATACTTAATTGTTTAAAACCTTTACAGTATGGACTCTGAGTGCTAATTCATTGTTTAAAACCTTTACAGTATGGACTCTGAGTGATACTCCATTGTTTTGAACCTTTACAGTATGGACTCCGAGTGCTACTCCATTGTTTAGAACCTTTAAAGTATGGACTTCAAGTGGTACTTCATTGTTTAAAACCTTTACAGTATGGATTCCGAGTGCTACTCCATTGTTTACAACCTTTACAGAACGGACTGCGAGTGATACTTCATTGTTTAAAACCTTCACAGTATGGACTCGACTTTTAACAGACCAGCATTCCATCCAACTGTCAGCTGTTGGGTGACTTCCCACAACAGACAGATTCCACTTCCTTGTCCAGAGTTCGTATCAGTCTGTCTACTGCCATCAGTCCGCGGCAGACTGCGACTCCCCAAGCCGATTCATCATTTCCCTTCACTTTTCATTGCGCTGGCCAGGAGCACTGCCGGAGCTGTGACAACGAGAAAGAACAGAACCACAAACAAACCCCAGAAAACAAACCAACCATCCAATAAAACACGGGGCGGGTGGGAGGGAAAGAGTCAGTGTCTTCTCATAGTGTAGCAGGTCAGTAACCCCGGGAGCTCTTGCCCTTGCCTTTCAGCAGCAGGATCATGGCTTTCAGTGGAGGCTGCTTTCCTGCGCTGTATGCATTGATTACACTACTATTCAGCTGGTCGGCCTCCTCCGACACAACAAATAAAGACCAAAGAAAAAAAGAGTTACCTGCGCACCAGCCCAAATCCCTATGGATACTTAAATAAATGGAGGTTATTTAGTAACACCAGTGGGCATTAGATGTAAGTCCACCTGCCACGTCAAGGCAAATCTCTTAAGTGGATCCTACACTTACAATTCATCTTGCTTCCTTGTGCTTCAGGCAAATAAAAATGTATTTGCCCGAAGTTGAAGGAAGCAAGCTGAATTTTTTGTTGTGACTTTTTTTTTCTATAAACTGTACATGCTACTATAAATATTGTTGATGTCAACACCAATAGAATAAAATAAAGAAAAAAAAACGAACTAAATAAATAAATAAACACCCCGTGCTAGCTGGATGAGTAATAGACATGGGATCACTGAACCAGCTGTCCTGAAGATTCCATTCCTGGGTGGGACATCCAGATGACTCTATTTGTGATGTCTTATTAGTGAAAATGAGGTGAGACCAGCTTTCTAAATACAGTTTTGACTGATGATGTGCAGTATATATTATTGGTCACCAAGTGTATAGCTCACCACGATATACACAAAAGGGTTATAGATCCCTCACACCTTTGCCACCCATCCTCTAGTTTGTTGCTTAGTTTTCCCTTTTCTTCTCAAGTATGTTGCTTTGTTTAAAATGCTTAAATAAAAAACAAACAAAAAAAACCTCAATTCCAGTGCATCTTTATAAACAAAAAAAGTGTGGTCAAGGTTAGTATTCATGTATGAATTTTTTACACAAACAAAATGCATTTTCACTGATGATATAATCGTCCTTATACATTACTGCTCTAAAACACTTATACTTGTGTTCAGAGATGTGGCGAGTACACCAGTACCTCCATGTACATATTTTATGGGGTTTTGGAAAGTTACTGGGTTTAATATAGGGTTTGCCCATTTAAATTTACACATTGAAATATGCGAGCTTGGTTTGCTTGGTTTGGTTTGGCCTAGGTTGCCTGGGCTGTATGGCAGCCCAGGAATGAGAATTACCCCTATCACGTTATACCGTTTGCAAACGTAGACATATTGTAATTAAAATGGCGTATATCAGTCTTTTCTAGTAGCCACTCAATCACAAAACCTGGCCAAAGTTAGTGTTCTTATTTTTGGGGGGCATTTTTCACACACAAAATCCACTTTCACTGATTATATCATCTTCCTTATATGTTTTACTGTTCAAGAATCAGGGCCGGCCTTAGGGGTGTGCGAGCTGTGCGACCGCACAGGGCGCCATGGAACAGGGGGCGCCCTGTGGCCGACACAGCTCACTCATGGCCGGAGTGCAGGGGAGCTAAAAGAGGTACCTGGCTGGAGGATTAATTATTCTCCACCCGGGTCTATTTAAAAAAAAAAAAAAAAAAAATCGCGGCAGAGGGGGCGGGGTTTACCGAGCGGCGGAGGCGGGGCTTATCGAGAGGCGGAGACGGGGCTAATACCTCCCGAAGCGCCTGCTGTACAGGAAGAGGGAAAGATGCTTCCCCATCAGCCAACTGCATCCACTGGAAAGAGGTAAGTGTGTGTGTGTGACTGTTTGCCTGTTTGTGTGACTGTCTGTCTGTGTGTGTGTGTGACTGTCTGTGTGTGACTGCCTGCCTGTGTGCGTGTGACTGTCTGTGTGTGTGTGACTGTCTGTGTGACTGCCTGTCCTTGTGTGTGTGTGTGTGTGTGACTGTCTGTCTCTGTGTGTGTGTGTGACTGTCTCTGTGTGTGACTGCCTGCCTGTGTGTGACTGTCTGTGTGTGTGACTGTCTGTCTGTGTGACTGCCCATGTATGTGACTGCCTGTGTGTGTGACTGTCTGTCTGTGTGACTGTCTGTCTGTGTGACTGTCTGTCTGTGTGACTGCCCGTGTGTGTGAGACTGTCTGTCTGTGTGACTGTCTGTGTGTGTGACTGTCTGTCTGTGTGTGTGACTGCCTGTATGTGACTGCCTGCCTGCCTGTGTGTGTCTGTCTGTAACTATCTGTCTGTGTGTGACTGCCTGCCTGTGTGTGTGACTTTCTATCTGTGTGACTGCCTGCCTGTGTGTGTATAACTGTCTATGTGTGTGTTACTGTGTGTCTGTCTGTGTGTGTGACTGCCTATGTGACTGTCTGTCTGTGTGTGTCGCTGTAGCTGTGCCATTGTTTGTGCCTGTGCCTGTATGTGTGACTGCCTTTAACTGAGTGTGTGTGTACATGCCTGTAACCGAGTTTAAATTTCCCCCACCCCTTCCTGTCAAGGCCGCACTTTGACTGACAGACGCTCACTCACTGACAGACGCACACTCACTGACAGACACACACTCTCATATACACTGACAAACAATGACATACACACATACACTATTACTTGGACACACACTGACAGATGCACACTCTCACTGACAGACGCAAGCACTCACTGAAAGATGCACGACTCCACTGACCGACACATACACACTGACTGACACACACTCACTGACCGACACACACTCACTGACCGACACACACTCACTGACCTACACACTCACTGACCTACACACTCACTGACCGACACACACTCACTGACGACACATACACACTCACTGACGACACATACACACTCACTGACGACACATACACACTCACTGACGACACATACACACTCACTGACGACACATACACACTCACTGACTGACACATACACACTCACTGACTGACACATATACACTCACTGACCACACACACACTGATTCACTCACAGACACACACACATTCACTTACAGACACACACAATTACACACTTACAGACACACACACACACACACATTCACTTCAAAATAAACACTCACAGACACACACACAGACATTTCCACTAACACTCACAAACTAATATTTTTTACATTTATTTTAAATCCACCCAGCCTCCCTGGGAAAGCTGGAGTGGATTTCTTACCAGCAGTCCAGTGTGGCTGCTGGGCAGGCAGGCAGGGGGCGCACAGGCTGAGTAAGCAGCGCTTAGTGATGCCGGGAGCCGGACTGACGTCATATTCTGGCTCCCGGCTTCATTAAGCGGCGCAGAGGAAGCTGAGCAGGAAGAGCTCAGGTGAGTATGCTCCTTCGCTGCCCGCTGCCAGCCTTGGGGGGGCTCAAAAGTGGCCAGCCGGTCAGCTCTTGAGCCCCCCAGGATGCGAGGCAAGCAAGGGATCTGCCTGGGGGTTTGGAGGGATGCTTTTTTTTGCCGCCCCCTGCAAAGTGGCGCCCAAGGCAGATGCCTTGTTTGCCTCGTGATACACACGTCCCCGGTGCCTGTGTGTGTTACTGTATTCAGGCAACTTGGTGGGAGGTGGGGGGGGCGCCGTGAAGACTTTTTGCACAGGGCGCCTAATTGCCTAAGGCCGGCCCTGTCAAGAATACACATATTTGTGTTCAGAACAAGGCCGGCGCTACCATAAGGCACACCGGCCCTGGGGGAGCAATGTCAGGCTGACCGGAAGGAGGGGACCGGTTACTTCTTGTAGTGTGACCGAGCACAGATCTTACCACCCATGGAGCCCAGCCCAGCCTCCTAACCTGGTGTCTGCCGAAAGCTGTTTGGCGGGGATATGAATGACATCATATCCCTGCTCACTGTGTACCACACATCGCGGCTGGCACCCAGTAATGGGGCTGGGCTGCAGGATGGTACTCCACAGCGCCGGACAGCATGTAACCCATGGACCAGGTTGAACAGATGTAAGTATGTAATTGGCACTGTCTGTGTATGTATGTATGTCTCTGTATGCATGCATGTATGTATGTATGTCTCTCTGTCTGTATGCATGTATGTAACTGAATGTATGCTTGTCTCTGAATGTCTGTATATATGTCTCTGTATGCATGCATGTATGTAACTGTATGCCTTTATGTCTCTGTATGTACGTATGTGTCTGTGTGTCTCTGTATGCCTGTATGTCTTTGTATGTATGTTTCTGTATGCCTGTAATTATGCATGTGTCTGTATGACGGAATGTTTCTGTATGTCTCTGTATGTATGTATGTATGTGTCTGTATGTACGTATATATGTGTCTGTATGTCTCTGTATGTATGTTTCTGTATGCCTGTATGTCTCTGTATGTATGTATGTGTCTGTATGTCTTTGTATGTATGTATGTATGTATGTATGTGTCTGTATGACGGTATGCCTCTGTATGCCTGCATATCTCTGTATGCATGTATATCTCTGTATATCTGTATGTCTCCGACTGTATGTCTCTGTATGATTATTTCTGTGTTTGTATGACAGTGTACCTGTCTGACTTTGACCGTGTACCTGAAAAACAATGCCTATGTGCCTGTGAGGAAAGGCATACAAAGGGATCTGGACGGGAGGGAAACACAAAATGGACTGAGTGAAAAAGAGCCACAGAGAGGGACTGTGGTGGAGAAAGAGACAAAGAAAAAGGTTGGGGTAAGAATGAGAAACAAAAATGGACTGGGGGTAAGAGACACTTAAAGTGGCTAGGGTAAGAATGAGACACAGAAAGGGGCTGAAGGTAAGAGACACAAAAAGGGAGTTGTAAGACACACTAAAGGAGGAATAAAATACACTAGAGCACAAAAGGGTTAAGAAATTCGAAAGGGGGAGTGTGACATATTCCTCCTCACCTTCCGGTATTTGCGGTCCGCGGCCGTGCATCTGTGTACCTGACTCCTACAACATGTTGACGGATGCCGGCTGCTGCGGATCCATGTCAAATTATAGCCCCACGTCCGTCCACGTTGATGACGTTGGCGTGCGACATCACGCAGGCGACGCGCGCTCACGTTCTAGGGTCATAGGCCGATTTTGGCCAATCGAATTTGTAAAGGGCTTATTTAAACACAATTTTACTTTTCCTCATTGCCAGAGAGTGTGTTCCTGAGCGTTTATTTCTGGTTATTTGACTTTGGCTTTGTTTGACTTCCCTGTATTTTGGTATCCCTGACTTTTGGCTTTTCCTTATCGTTGTGTCCCATTCTGTGTTCCCGACCTCGGCAAGTATCCTGACTATTCTTTGGCACGTTAAGTTCCCCTTTGGCTCAGTGTAAAGAATAAAACTGCGTTATTTAAAATATACTCTAAAAACATGTCTTTTTATCTATTAAACCAACGGTTTCCAAACTGTGTGCGGACACATGCGGAATGTTTCCCCGGTGCTATGATTTTAGCATTGGGAAATATAACTGCTGAACTAGGGCCTGGTCGGGTGCCGCGGTCCTTTAAGTCCGTCACCGGGCCCCTGTAGAGTGTGTGGGTCAGGGTGTGTATGTGTGTGCACACATCTGTGTGTCAGGATGTGCATCTGTGTGTCAGGGTTTGTATTTTTATGTCAGTGTGTGTATCTGGGTCATAGTGTGTGCATGTATCAATGTTTCTGTGTCAGGGTGCGTTTGTGTGTGTACTTGTCAGTTTATGCATGTGTTAAGGTGTGTGTATCTATGTGTGTGTATGTGTCAGTGTCTATATGAGTTTGTGTGTATGTGTCAGTGTATTTATGTCTGTTAATGTGCATGTATATCTGTGTATGTATGTATATATATATATGTATGTATGTATGCATGCATGTGGTAGTGTATGTGCATACATCCAAAATGAAAATGAATGGGATTGCATGGGGGAGGGGAGTTGGATAGAGACCACTCGTTGGTATGGGATTATTTCCAAACATGGTTTTTGTTCACAGTGCAACACCAAGAACAAGGTCAATCAGTGGAGGTTTAATTAGGTGAATAGGAGTTTTATTCATAGCAGGCAGGGCTATTCACCAACATGAGTATTTTCAGGAATTTTTCAAATCAGCTATGCTTCCATTTCAGCTATTTTGACCTTAAAACGGCAAATCTGTAAGGGTTTTTCGTATATTTTGAAAAGACCCTCTTTGAGAGGTAGCTTTACAGGTCAAGTGTAAGAAAAAAATACATGAAGTCCATACTTTTTCTAATTAGATCTTTTGACTGAGTTGGAATTTTAGTTATTTTCCAACACAGTTAATGTATTTCATAGAGATTTTTGAATTCCAGACAAATCTCACTTACGTGGATAATCCGAAGAGTCATCATAAAACCTGTATCCTTGACAAATGGGCATTCTTCACTGAAGAGGCGGAAGAAGAGTTAGGGCCTGAAACCATTGGGTGTATCAGTGGGTGTAGAATGGATCATATTTTGGTTTTGTCAGACCAGAGAACATTTCCTATATTACCCATGTCCACTGCAAATAATTCTATTTAATAAAAACTAAACAAATTACTTGTTTTTTTTCCCACTGTTCTATAAATCCCTACTTTATGAAGCATTGGATAATAGCTGTCCTATGGACTCTTTCTTTTACCTCGACTGTTCCTTTTGATTAATGCCTTCCCCTAAAGAGTAATTAGGTAATTTCCACATCCATCTCTAGACAGAGGAGCAGCAGAACGATTTTAATGGAATTTTAGATGATGTGTGTTGTATGAGATTTTTCTTTTTAGAAACCAAGCATGGACAAACTAGAATTGATCTAAAACTTCATCCCTGCTTTTTATTCCCCAGCTTAATAAACCTTTAAATACTCTCCTTAGTCCATGTTTACATATTACATAGTTACACAGCTGAAAAGACACTTGCATCCATCAAGTTCAGCCTTTCTTACATTTGATTTTTGCTGTTGATTCAAAAATAACCCAGTCTGAAGCGCTTCCAATTTTGCAACAAACTAGGAAAAAATCCTTCTTGATTGTCAGTCAGATATCTCCTTGGATCAAGAAGCTATTACCCCACTAATTAAAATGTATATTCCGGTATATTATGTTTTTGTAAGTATTTATCCAATTGCTGTTTAAACATCTGTATTGACTCTGATAGACAACACACTATGCAACAATGTGCAATGTCAATCAGCAGTGGCCAAGGCCAGTAAGGTATTGTCATGCATGAAAAAGGGCATTCATTCTTGGGATGAGAATATCATTTTGCCTCTTTATAAATCACTGGTAAGACCACATATTGAATATGCTGTGCAATTTTGGGCACCTGTTCTAAAGAAGGATATTATGGCACTAGAAAAAGTACAGAGGCGGGCTACAAAATTAATAAGAGGAATGAAACATATCAGCTATGAAGAAAGGTTAACAAATTTAAACCTATTTAGTTTAGAAAATCGTCGCCTGAGAGGGGATTTGATAACATTATACAAATATATTCGGGGCCAATACAAACCATTGTGTGGAAATCTATTCACAAACCGGACTTTACACAGGACACAAGGTCATGAGTTTAGACTGGAAGAAAGAAGATTTCAACTAAGGCAAAGGAAGGGCTTTTTTACTGTAAGAACAATAAGGATGTGGAATTCTCTGCCTGAAGAAGTGGTTTTATTAGAGTCCATACAGATGTTCAAACAGCTACTAGATGCATACTTGCAAAAACAGAATATTCAAGGATATAATCTTTCAATGTAGGGTAATAACTGCTTGATCCAAGGATACATGTGACTGCCATTCTGGGGTCAAGAATGAATATTTTTCCTAGCTTGTTGCAAAATTGTGCTTCAAACTGGGTTTTTTTGCCTTCTTTTGGATCAACAGCAAAAAACAAATGTGAGGAAGGCTGAACTTGATGGACGCAAGTCTCTTTTCAGCTATCTTTTCAGCTATAACTATAAAACCACCTCTTCAGGCAGAGAATTCCACATCCTTATAATTCTTTCTGTAAAAAAAACTCTTTCCTTTGCCTTAGACTAAATCTCCTTTCTTCCGGTCCAAATGCGTACCCCTGTGTACTATTTATGTTTATTTTAACTTAATTGGAACAGGGTCTGTTTGGTTGCCATAAAGTGTGTAAGAAACCCAGTCGGGTAGCAATCCTGTTTTTTTTCTTAGGTCCATAGACAAAGGTTCTTTGCACACCAGTCCAATTTCACACTTACCTCCATTAATTCCATACACCTATCTTTATTCTAGACCTTTAGTAAACCACGACACACTGGCAGGTTTCTTTTAAATGTTTATTGTAGAATATAAAACTACAAAAGAGGCTGCTTGTTTCCATGTACAATTGTTTTGCTTACAGCCCATACCTACATGTGAATACAGTAATCTGTTATCAGACGTGTCTGTAATATTGCATAGAAAAGGCACAGCTCTAAGGTCTGGTGGAGGAAAACACAGCCTTTGTTTAGAAAAAGAGAAAGGGAAAAGAAAACAACAACTTTCATGCACTGCTCAATTCACAAAATTTACCCACATTTCTCGCAAATATTCCAAAGTAGAGATATGTGGTTTGGTGTTCCAGAATTCAAATGCAAATAATTAGGGGAAGAATTAGGGTTAAATTTAGCCATAACTATTCTATTTGACAGTGTCCTTCAATGTAATTCTCAACCCTGGTAGGACAATTAGAAATATATATATATATATTGGAAGCATCACTCATGATCTAAAGAAGTTTTATGATGGATTGGCCTTCAGAGCTGTCTATTGTTCGTCCATTTCAGCTGATATTTGACTACATTTCTTACAGTTGCCTTGCAGGGAATTCTGTGTACTGAACTAGAACCGGATGTTCCCAAGTTAGAGAAATAAAATTATGGGGAAATGCCATTTAATTGACAATGGCAATGAAAGATATTAAAGTGCTTTCTGAATATGTGGTAATATTCATGCATGTGCTAAGTAGAGGTTTTATGTATGTTTGTCTGTAACACACTGGTATTTACTGGTGGCAAGGGTTGTAGATTGAATAATACATATTTACATGAAATAAAGTAATTACTTTTGAATCATTACTGTTTTACCATATGTATGTGGTAGCATTATTTGATGAACTGGACACAGAAAACTTAAAGGTACACTCAAGGCACCAAAACAACTTCATCTAAATGAAGCTTTTATGGTGCCAGTAGGCCCCCAGAGGTTCTCTTACTACAAGGGGTTAAACCGTCTTTGAGTGGTTTAAACCCAATGTTGCCTCCAGTGCTGGTCTCAGCTCCTCCCCAGGGGGCATTGGCTTCTGAATTTGTACTTACAGGAAGCGTGGATTGCCGTGCTGCTGATTAGCTGAAAGCATCAGTTGACCACTTTTGGCCAATCAGTGACTCCCCATTCACTAAATTGGCTTGCAAAGAAGTGTACCTTTTGCAATTAAGTTTAGTGAATGGGGAGTGACAGTCTCAAATGGATCTCTTTAAATGGTGTAGGTAAGGCTTCAAGAAAGTCTGTTCATAAATTGTTATTAAGGACCAAACTTCTGGAATAAAAGGGAATCATGACATGTCACACATGTCATGTGTCCTTAAGGACATGTCATGATTCCCTTTTATTCCAGAAGTTTGGTCCTTAAGGGGTTAAAGAGCATGCTAAGCACCATGACAACTACAATAAGTTATAGTGGGTATGGTGTTTACAAGACTTTCGAATGGATTGTGTCAAATTGGATTGGAACAGTTTGACGAAAATCAGGGTTGCCCTAAGGCAAAAAACATTGCCCCTGTGCTACTCAGCTAGTGGGGTATTGGACTTCTACATTAGCCTGTCTAACTTTGGGTGAAATGTTAGGTTAAGGGTGCTGTTATATATTAGCAGAATAGAGTTTCATAGCTCTTGATTACGAGGCAACTATATAATTACAGGACCAATACGAAAATAATGATACCCCTTGAGGTTTTACTTTGATAAAAAAAATACACATTTACTTACTTAGAGTTGTTGTTTTTTATTTATTCAAATTAATTATAAGGAAATAATCACAAATGTAATGCAATTTCTCCAGAATGCTGGAAAACCACCCACTGATCCTAAACATAAATTGTGTGAATTGTGCATTTATTCGAGGGTAAGGCGGCCATTTTCATCACCTCACACCCTCTTTTGAAATGAACCTACATTCCTAAAAAGAGTAGATTCCTACCATACATTCTGTACATGCTACAATTCAGATGTTAGCTTCACAATAAAATAAATATATTTACAAAAGAAAAAAACAAAACAGGAATAAATAAATTAAGAGAAAATAAAACCACTTAAAAAAGGAAGAAGAAAAATCAAAGCTGATTGGATCTGCTCAATTCTTGTCATATCATTGCACAACAGTGTCTATAAACACAGACCTTGCACAGTGATTATACACTTCTTAAAGGTTTGTCTGTACATATGTTAAAATAAGCCTCACAAACATGGCTATCTTGCATATGTGTTCTGAGATAAAGCAAAAACAAAATCATTAATTTTAAGAAGGTGATTATAAAAATGTTACAAATTAACAGAAGCACCGAAAAGGAAAAAAAAAAAAATTAAATAATAATTATAATCTCTTTCTAGAAAAAGGGGTAGCGATAAAGGACTTTTGATTCTTGCCGTTTTGGAATTGTTAATAAAAATGAAATGAAAAGCTATTCAAAATTGCGATAAACTTTGTAAAAATGATGATTGTATTGAGCATCAGTAGTACCCCAACTATTATAGTATAACAATATAGGACTGCACTTGCTTGCTGTATTAATAACCTAATACATATCCAAACACCATAACCACCACAGTCTGCTGAGGTGCGAGACCACTAGTGACACCATGATCACTACAACGTGATGTAGTCGTTATGGTGTTTGCATTGTTCATTTCAATTGAAAATGTATCAAATTCTGAAGTACAATATTTTTTATTTTCTGTTTAGTGGTCTGGAGAAAGGGAAGTAGCAAAACAGATAATTTTGTTTGCTTTAGAAAAATAAGGGGCATTATTGCAAGATCAACTAATATAGAACAAAGCGCAGCAAGACAAATTAAGCCACTATACGCAAATTATCAGCAGTGATACTTAGATCCAATATGGCTACCACCTCGTCTACTGCATAAACATAGTTTGTTTCATTTTGTATAGTTCTTAACAATAATATAAATTACATATATACATACTTTCATATATATATATTTATATAGATTTAAATATCTCAGCACTGAGTGTGTCAGCAGACCTATTACATTGGCCTTTTCCCTCCTTTCAACAACAAAATAACATGTCTATGCCTTTATAACCAATACATACATACATGATATAAAAATAAATAACATAAAATAAACTATATAGTTTACTAAAATTATTTGTAACTGAATTCACATTTTTCTGCACAGATATAATGTCATGCAATCCCTTTCACTGTTACGGGACTGTGCAACGTATTTTTGGAGATTCCAACATTCCAAATGCCTTTTACAGACAGATCCAATCTTAATAAAATGTCAAGAAATGAGCAGATACCAGTTTGCCATTGCCAGAACATAAAACACAATTTAAAATTTTTAAATAAATTAATATAAAAAGTATTTTCTAAAGAAGCCATTTGCTGTACTAAAATATATATGTTCGAGAGACCTGTGGTTAACATCTAAGTACCATACAGAGAGCTACGAAATAAATACTGCACAGACTTGGGGTGAAACCAATTAAAAACATTTCCTAATAAAAGGAACATTCACTTGTATGGATGGTGGAAGCCACAATTTGAAAATTAAATTTTAACTTGATAATAAAACATTAAAAAAATGTAATGATAGATTTCAAGCTACCAGTTCTAAACACCAATAAGCATATAGCATTTTTGTGCATTACTCTATACTTTCTACTGTTTCAAAATAGAAAATGGCGTCCAGTCAGGTGCACACTGGGTAGTTCAATGTTCAAATCACAAAACAATATAAAGGAAAACATGTATGTCAAAAATGTTTTAATCCTATTAGATCATGATAATGTGGGCATACCATCAGTCACGTATGTAGTGTAAGTTGTAACATACAGAAGGGTTTATTTTGACCAGATTTTTTTATTCGGTTGTTTTGTTTTATCTGATAGGTTTGCTTTGCTCACTCGGCATCTAAACAGTCTTTTAGACTGGGTTTAAATCTGATTAAATATATTTTAGAGAGATACAGGGTATCCCAACAACAGAATTTGAGCTGTTGGGGAACTTGACCTAGTCCTAGACAATTATTTTCCCCCTCATTATGATCAAGCCTCAACTGTCTTCTACATTGTAGTCAAAATTACAGCTAAAGGGTTAGAACTGGTTAGTCCCGATATAGATATATATAGCTCATTGCCTTAGCCATCTTCAGGTTTATATTTGCACCATCAGAAGAAAATTAGATTTTTTTCCCTTAGATCATATCTATTGTATTTATGAAAATAAGGAATATTTCTTCAAATCATAGCACGTTTTACTGAAGAGTGAATGTATCCTTTTTTTATGAAATGCTCATAATATAAAATGATATAAAAAAATCATTGTGGTGATGACCGCTTATATCATACTGGATATAACCACCCATAAACAAAAAGAAGCTTTGTCTTCCTCACTGACATACTGTGCTAGTGATGTCCCGAACGGTTCGCCGCGGACGGCGAACATATGCGGTAAACTCTGACCCTGTACCTCACAGTCAGCAGACACATTCCAGCCAATCAGCAGCAGACCCTCCCTCCTGGACAGCTCACTAAGAATGCAGCTTCACAATGAATGTAAAATGGATGCTGTCCAGGAGGTGGGAGGGTCTGGGAGGAAGGGTCTGCTGCTGATTGGCTGGAACGTGTCTGCTGACTGTGAGGTACAGGGTCAAAGTTTACCGCATATGTTCGCTGTCCGCGGCGAACCGTTCGGGACATCACTATGTGTGACTAATTTCGGCCAATGGAAGTCCTACTGCAGGATAGAGAGGAGAGACAGACGTGAACATGAACCATCGTGCAGTAGGTAAAAAGAAGGACTTGTTTCATGTTAGGTGCATGGGTTAATCCTAAAATTCTAGCAGGATTGTAACTGTCCGTAACAAAGTACAAATATCTCTAAACGAGGACTGGCCACAAAGTGTCCCAGCTCTCCACACGCTCTAGAGTTCCAAATTTCATTAAGGCTTTGCCAATCTTAAAACTGTTAAATCCCCATGAATGTTGTAGGGGACAAACTTTATCTTTAATATGGCGCATATTAACCGTTTATATTATAACAGCCACTGGAAACCCATGCCATCGGCATAATGTGGTCTTTAGAGATCATTCTCTGACATGGAATGTTTTATACGTTTACCAAATTGTCAAAAGTCTAACTAATGCAAAATGGGTAGTACATTCCAAGCCAAGACAAGATCTCCAAGGATTTAATGGTTATCTGGTTAATAATAATATTGTTTCTTTAATTTATAAAAAAAAAAAAAATAACTGTTTGATTCTGTACTGGTTACATATTAATGCTCCTCTCATGGCATTGCTGTAGACATATTACATGGACTTACTGGTAAAGTTCCCTGAAGAATTTATGAGATTAACAATTGGATTGCTGGAGTGGCAGGTTCTGGGATTGGAACAGCCAACAGGCAGTCTTCTAGAAGTTGAGAAAGTATCGAGGATATTTACTAAAGTATGAATTCAAAGATAATTTCAAATGTAATGCCAGATTAGCTGGACTGAGAGCATAGCCAGATTGGAGAACTAGTTTTGCAATTTTAACCATAAATTTGAAATTCACTTTGAACTCTTACTTTAGTAAATAAGCCTATAGGACTCCCATGGTGTATGGAATTCTTTATCAAAGCATCATGGGAGATGAAGTTCCTCAACATTTGTAGGACAACATTTTTTCTACCCCTGTTAAAATGTACTTTTTTCAAAAGATATAGTGAGTATACCAAACACGGTGACCTGGGAGTCCATTAGGAAATCTCGACTTTACCTGTCTCCTAACATCACATAACAGTAAAAACAAAAAGACAGCTGTATAACAATAATAAACAAAACGCTTCTCTTCTATACTTAAAATGAGGACTTTGTGTCTGGGCTCAAATAAAGTGGCAATACTAAGGGTGGCACCCCACTGATATAGAATGGGTTAAACATGCTGTTCCACCTTCACAAAACAATAGCTTAATACTTTAGTGCAGGGGTGGGCTAAATGTAGATCACCAGATGTTGTTGATCTGCTCTAAAGCTTGATAAGTTAAGAAAGCTAGGTAGATGTCTACTCTTATGCTATACCTATAGTTTTAAAGGGACACTTTAAACACACCTCATTGTAGTGGTTATGGTGCGACTAGTCTATGAGTGCTATTTATACATATTTTGGGGCAGTTCAAAATAAGCCGTGGCTCCCCTGGCATCCACACACCACCCGCTCTGCAACTGCACTTTTAATACAAAATGCAATTGGTTAGGTGAATCAACTTTGGAGGTGAATGATAGTATGGGAGCTCTGTCAGGGAAAAACTAGTAAAGGTGCCCATGAACTCATTGCACCATAACCACTACAATAAGAAGCTGACAAATTATCAAAATACTTAACCAGTAAGAATACTTTTAGCATGTGTTAGTTTCCACATATACACTGTCAAATGGGGAAAATATGAGTCAAAAGACACATACACCAGCAGAGCAGGGGGGACAGCATATTTAGTTTCAAAAACACTGATGGACCGTAAGAAAGAGGGGTATCAGTTTTCCATATTTCCCCAGTACAGATTGCCAGTCAAAGTATGCGATTATTATACGCTGAGTATGTCGGATAATTTCTTACTCCTATCATGCGGAAAGGGTTAACGTGAAGGGAAGATAACTTAATGGAACAAAGGCATTCTCCTGATCAGAACATTTCAGAACTTGGATGTCGATTTACAACAATACCCATAATCCTCTAGGTCTTCTATAGGTTTGAGCTGTGATAATTATGGGAGCTGAATCCTAAGTGGGATGTTGGACAGTTCATCACCCCTGTTTTAGAATAAAATTCTCAGACAAAACAAAACCACATAACATGGGAAAATGAAGAGATTGTTAATTTTAGTGTGACGTCAAAAATACTGTTACTATGAGAAGCATTATACTTCACCACACTCAAACTGACAAGTTAATCTGCCAAGGGCATGACGTGAAAAATTAAATGGGGTGTACTTTAAAAAAAAAAAAAAAATTATCTTAAAAACACTGAGTGGTGAAAAATTATTATAAATCTTTTGAGCACATGGTTGGTCAAACCTAAAATATCTAAATAATTCCCTCTGTGCAATCCATGGGGATCGTATAAAACATTGATTGTGAAAAATAAATACATTTATCAATGTGGAATAAATACTTTCAATAAGATGACAAAATATTTCATGGCCATTCCTTAACCCCACGCACCCCTCCCAAAAACAATGTGCAACTCACAGTTAGGCTAAGTTAGGCTAAGTTGTTGCTGCCCTCTGGTGGTGAAATTGTTCTCCTTTTTTATAATAGGAGTTTCAATTAAATATTTTCTTCACACCATAGACAAAAAAATAATTCAATGGTGTGTAATAACATTTCAGGCCTAGCTTGTACATTATAAGTGGTGAAGAAATTCATACGAAACAAAAGTAATTGTTTGTGTATAAACACCAATTTTTTTCTCCCCATTTTTCCTAGAAAAAAACATTATAAATGACAGAATCTGTACAAAAATATAAAAAACATTTGGACAGCGGTATCTAAGCAGCTATGTATATGCAAGTTTTGTTGGGTTTTTTTTTGTACATTTTTTTTTTCTGTAAAAGCGGTAATTAATGCCTCCATTTCTTAACTCTATAATTTAACCTAAAAAGGACTAAAATGCCAAAAAGGGGCTCTGATTACCTAAATAATAAAATTTTTACCTTTTGCAATAAAACTTATTGAAAAAATAGACAATTATGCACATGCAATTTACAGCAGTACCACCCCCCACCCATCCCAACGTAATTCTTGTGCTTAACATATACAACAAACTGATGTTTTCGAGTTATTCAATGGTTTGGAATATGCAATCTTTAGAGAATTGTGGTATGATTATCCTTGGAGAATTATTTATAAAATATCTCCAAGTGATCATACAGAAGGCACTCCAATACAGCTTTATCACGATCCTTGTTTTTGTTGTTTTTTTTGTTTGTTTGTTATTCCTTCTTCTCAAAAGGCAAGAGAGTACGCATGCAAAGTGCTTTAAATCCGTTCGAGTGAAGTTTGCTTTAGGACCCAACCAAAACCTCCATGATATGGTCTAATTCTGTAAGGTCCATTTTAAAAGGCTGATTTGGGGTGACTGGTTGGCTGCTGTAAGGAGATAATGTTTTCAGAAGTTCGTCTGGTGCCATTTTAGAGGTTGTTCCAGCATTAGATGTGCAAGGGTCAAAATCGTACATGGACGTGTCAATATCTGAGAAAAGAATATCATCCAATGTCAGATCAGTAAGAAAGCCAGTGGATGTTGTCAACTCAAAATTCCCAGGAAGGGAATCCATTAGTTTTGGCTCACTTGTTCTGCTCTCTTGTGTTCCCTCAGGCTTAAGTGTACCAGACGCAACAGATTCATCCTTGAGATGTGCTGTTGCTGTTGCCTCTGTTGAGGTAGATGTTGGACAAAGCTCCTCAATTTCATCCAAAGCTGAGGAAAAACTGTCTTTTACTGGCTGGACAGAAGGCGGAGAAGGTGTTGGAAGAGGTGATGGTAGTTTGCTGATAGGACCATTCTGCTGGACTGTTTGGGAAGTGCAAAACGTGTCATCCTCAAGCAAGGAGGCTGGGGTGAGGCAAGACTCTAGTGGTGTAGTGCTTACTAGGTCAGGTTGAACAGGCTGCAAGGCAAGATGGCTGAATGCAGGCTGAGCCTCCTGGTAGGTGTCACCTAGAGGGTCGGTAGGCTGAGAAGTGCTGATAAACATAGGCCTTAGGCTACCTTCTTGTTTCAGTTCCTCCTGAATTCGCCTAAGCATGTTATTTATTAAAACTGTTTTTTGCAACCGTGGCTCTGTCAGTGGCCGATGGTTGTAGAGTTTCATGAGGGAAATGTTGAAGATAGTCTGGCGCTGTAAAGTGTAGGACACCTTAGATGGTCCGTCTGTGGGAGACACCACTTTGCCTTCCAGCCCATCTTCATGCTCGTCAAACTTTCGCTTTCCTGCCTTAGCCAACATATATCTGCAAGAAATAAGAGAGAAGATATTCATGCTTTAATAAATACATAAAAAACATGTACCAAACGGCTATAATAACATTTATAGAAACACCCTCAAAATGTCAATGCTGCAAATCTGCAAAGGCCAGGAACTGGATGAGGCTTCTCAGTCAATCCTAGTCCTTCCAATTATGCATCTCTCATAATCCCTGATGAACAGTAGTTCAAAAATAATGTGTAGTTTAATTAATGAAAACGTGTGAATGAGTCTATTCTATCCGCCAATAGAAACTGCAGTGTGCCTCTATTAGCTTGCAGAACACCTTCAATCTGTGTTTTCACAAATTATGTCAGTCATACATGTGCATGAGTATGGCTGCAGTAAATTTAACAAGGACCTTTACAGCAATAGCCAGCGCTTCCTGTACACAGTGTACATCAACTTGTGTATATAGGGTGTACCACAGACTTCCCTTATGATGCCACAGAGTGTTGGGTGGCCTAAGAACTGTAGCTGTGATTTTTGGAAAACACAGCTGTTACAATGTACCTGATGTAGGGAAACAGGAACAAAGGTGTTCTTTGACACCATACTCTGTTCACAAATCATACGTAGCTGTAGAATTTGCAGTGCCTCTTTAGTTAAAGCATTTCTACTGGTCCAGAATAGTTAATTATGCAATTATCAAGATGTGAATCTGTGTATCTGGGGAAATGTAAAGGATTCTAAAAAAGATGTAGCTTCACGACCCAAAACAAGGCAAGAGTGTATTTCTGAACTCATATTCAGATCAAGTGTTCTCCCTTAATAAAGGGAATATATGTGCCTGAGTAAGTCTTTAATTTAGAGAGCACAGACATTCCCTATTACGGCACAATTAATAAACAGATTTATTTTGTGCTTACAAAGGACAGTCCGTATTGAGTCATTTAACTACCCAGAAATGGAGACAAGTAATTATGGATAAAGGATAGTCCATACATAGGCTAAATCTGGTCCCAGAATTATTATTCTGGATGCTGGTGGAATGCTGGGGGGGGGGGGAATTTTATACTATCCCCTGCCTCACAAGGGCAGAAGGGACATAGACATTGCACTATTGAAAGACTGATGTATACTGTGGTTTCATATGATAAAACACAGGTTCATCTCTTTTGTAGAATAGGAGGTGCTGAAGAAAAAAAACAAAAACACACACAGTAGCATCCATCTGCCATTGAGGAAATAAACTAGATTTCTCTGCAGTGTATATACTCATCTAATTGAGTTGTAGCAGCCTAAGTAGTGAGATTCTGTCACTGTACTGGCTGCCCCCAGAGGATTGTCAATGGATTAACTGCAAAGACAATGAGACAGCCCCCCAGTGCATGGGGGCAGCAGTGGACATGGAAAAGGAGCTGTTTCCAAGCTCGAATCAGGGAAGAAAAGATTGATTTTCCTATTTTTTTTTTTTTTTTATAGAAAGGCATTGGCTTGGCACTTGCTTGCAGGCCTCGACTCTAGAGTCTGTGAAAACCTCTAGAACTTAATTTCATCTGATCTGTAAAAAAATACTAAAAAAATGTAAACAACAGACATAACATTTCCTGCGAGCATGACATAAACACGGATATTTAGGTTGCTGTTTAAAACAACAGAAAGTCACCAAACTGAAAAGAGGGTTTTACTAGTAAAGCACAGAATTGCTAGGATAGAAACTTTAAAAAACAATGTAGCTTTGCTATCTGTACATATATTATTATATTCTTGAAGATATCATGGCCATAGTATAGTAACTGCAAGGTGCATAATATTAGCAAACTTGGGAAATTCGTTTTCTTACTGATAAAACTATAAAACATGGCACTTCAGATGTGTCTGGACTTCATTTCCCATGATGCTCAGTCAGCCCCAGGGGAAAATGCATTGCAGCACGGCACACCGGATGAAAGACGTGTTTAGGACACTTTATCTTTTCTCTCACTGAGTCTTTTGTTGAGTCTCCTACACACGGAGTATGGTATGACGTGCTGAACTACATATCCCATAAACCTTTGCAGAGCACGGTTGGAGATTTTTCTCTGTTCTCCCACTGACAATAAATGGATAGTATCAGCTACTTCTTGGTCTGAGAAGCACACACAGCAAGAAGAAGCAGTTCTTGAATAATTTATAAAGATTTTTTTTGCATATTTTTAATGCATCATAATACATTGAAATTGGGGGTCTCATCCAACCTGGAATGTCTCATTATGTGTATTTAAAAAAAAAAAAAAAATACCAAAAAAATACGTAATGTATTATTCTGTATGTATAGCTGTGATATTTCAGTAATGTCTGCCGCCAAATATAGCATTCATACATGCAAACATTTCCATACATCACCGTAACTTAAGCTATTTGGAATGCCATTGCACTTTTTAGCAGGTTGGTGGAAAGTAACTTTCCTCTAAATGTTCTTCCATACATCAGTGTCCTACAAAATGTGTGTAACTGCTTTAAAATAATATATTACATTTGTAACATGGAGCAGTATATCCACATCTCACATCTTTAACCTTAGGTAGCTTAAAACCTATAAACACATTATTAAATCACTTAAGGAAACAGTTTACGCAACGCAACTAATTTGCCAAAATTAAGTGGTTATGGTGCCAGCTCACCTTAAACCATTCTCAAACAATTTAACCTCAGAGTCTTTGTTCCAGTACCTAATCTCCCTGACTCTCTGCCCTTCTGTTTTCTAAAAAGCTCTATAACGAAAGCCGCTGACAGCTCTCAGCCAATCAGCAGCACTGCTGTCCAATTCTGCAAAAGCCTCCAGGTTTAGAGATAATTAGAAAATGTAAGGGCAGAGAGGCAGGGAGATAGTGCACTGGAGCAAAGACTTTGGGGTTAAGCTGTTTGAGAACAGTTCAACCCCTTTAAATGAGCGAGCGCCAGGAACCTCTTGGCACCATAACAACTTTGTTTCAATGGACTGGAAGCATAGCTGACTTAGATCATTTTTCCAGTTTAGCTATTTTGGCCTCTAATTAGTCCTTTAATTAATTCCTCACTTAATTAACTCAGTTAAACGAACACTAGAGAGTCCGGAACACAAACATATATTCCTGACCCTACAGTGTTAAAATCACCATCTAGCCCCCCTGGTTCCCCCTTGCTTCTCTAAGTATAGTAAAATCTTACTTGTATTAACGTCTATAGATCCTGGCTTTGCCCCTGTCTGCCTCTGACCTGCCTGCTGTCTGCTGACATCATCAGAAGTGGTGTTCTGAGCAAATCACAATGCTTCCCTATTGGATTGGCTGAGACCTTCAAGGAGGAAAATCTGGGGCAGAGCCAGCACAAGTCAAACACAGCCCTGGCCAATCAGCATTTCCTCATAGAGATAAATTGTATCAATGCATCTCTATGAGGAAATTTCAGTACCTGCATGCAGAGGTTGGAGACACTGAATGGCAGCACTGCCCCAGGAAGCACCTCTGGCAGCCATCTAAGGAGTGGCCAGTGAAGTTATCAAAAAAAAAAAATGCAAAAAAACATGCACACAATCCTTTTTGTGTTATAAAATATTTACCACAAAACAAAACCAAAAATGCAAAAAGCCTGAAGGAAATTATTCTACTCACTATAACAAATATAATAAGCTGTAGTTGTTCTGATGACTATAGTGTCCCTTTAACCCCTTAAGGACCAAACTTCTGGAATAAAAGGGAATCATGACATGGCACACATGTCATGTGTCCTTAAGGGGTTAAAATGTCGTCTATACATGAAAGGTTTTGATTTACATCTCGGCGTTGTGGGAGTGTGCCGACTATGAAGCAAAATTCAGGTTAAAATATAATTTACATATTATCCTCGAAAGGCTTTATTTATTTCCTTCAATGACACATTACATTTTAAAATGAGGCTGTTGCCAGAATAAAATATAACAATGTAAACAATCTGAAATAGAAGCACTGTTATTTTGATATTTATGTCAAAAACTAAACACAAAATTGTACTGAACTGACAACCATACTGGAAATATAAGTAAATCAGCTATCGTCTGCTTGGCTATGGTAGCCTAAATTGTGCCATTCGACTTTCAATTCACTACAATCCCATGTTTAGGGAATAAACCATAAAGGATTTCTTTAGGATATTGACTAGTAATTTCCATTTAAGAACTATATGAATAATTATTCAAATTGGATACATCAGAAATTGTAAGCTCTTTAGGCAAGGAACTTAACTTGATAAAAGTGGCTTCATACTAGTCTCCAGAAGGCCGGTTCATCTCCCTGATTTAGGAAGCTATGACTCATTTCCCCTGCACGTGACTGTCTATTCTTCAAACAACCACCGGTTTAATGTGGGACTACTTTACACATGAGACAAAAAGTTATTTTACTTCACTTAGAACATACAAAACCCATCACTCAACTTCTAAAGTCTGGTATAGTGTTTGCGCAAGACATGTCTACATTTCCTAAACAAACCATATAGTCCAACATGAGTCAATACCCAGACACAGATCTGGATCACTTTCTGGGAAAATGTTTGATTTTCCTGCTCTGAGCACCATGTCTGATTTTCTATTTGGACACTTAGTAACTAATTAGAACACTCGTAAATGTACATGTAAAATCAAAGTGAAGGGTGAAAATATTGTGATGCTTTGATCAGTATTAATGATTCTTTGAGTTAAATGATGGGGAGGGTCTTGTCAATCTCAGAACCACAAATCACACTTTTTCTACTTTTCCTGAATATTTTTACTCCGCTACAAGACGGGAATGTCAGTAATTACAAAAAATCTATATACAGACACTGTAACACATTTTAAAACGGTATTAAAAGAATGTACAGTTGATTTTTATTTGCTATGAGTTGATGGTTTTTGTGATGTAAACAATAAATTAAACTAAATCTTTGCCAGATCTTTACTTGTAATTTAATGCACTTTGCTACTTCAAAAATCTACACCCAATGAAGACTGCATTAGAAAAGAAAACCAAAAAAATACAAACCATTCAGTGTGCTGCTCCGAGATATAATGCTAGGACATTTTTTCTAAAACACTCATACATATCCCATATGCTTCACATCCACGCAAACCTGTTTTACCATTCCTCCCTCCTCGAAATAAAGCAATAGGTTCGAAACATTCATTGAGCATAATCTGCCTACATATTGCTGTAGCACTGACAGCACTGTTAACGTGCAGATATCCACAACACTAACAGAAAAAGACATACAGTAAGTACACCAAATTTTCAGTACAAACAAATAGGACAAAACAGTGCTGTCAGTTTTCAAATTAACAAGACGGATCCAGAATTTGTTACTTAAAGGAAAAAAAAAAACAAAAAAAAAACAAAAAACACTTTTTGGGGTCCGCAGGATATCCCCAAAGTACAACCAATAAGAGGTGCAGAGAAGATTTCTGTCTAAGGACCAATAAAAGCACCCAGACTTCATCTAGATGGCGTGGTCTGGATGCAGTAGTCCTTTAGTTTTAACCCTGCAATGTAAGACATTAGTTTAGAAGATACGCCAGGTAGACAGCCACTAGAGCCGCTTTTCCTGTGAGAACCCAGTCAAACTTGTCTGTGACAGCTAACCTCCAACATTAAAGGATCACTATAGTGTCAGGAAAACAAATCAGTTTTATGCTGACACTGTAGTACCCTGAGGGTGCCCCCACCCTCAGGGTCCCCCTCCCGTGGTGCTGAAGAGGTTAAAACCCCTTCAGTTACTCACCTTCCACAGCCGGGCTCCCTAACCTCTCCTGCCCCGCCGACATCAGCTCCCCCGTCTGACGTCAGCGGAGCGGAATGCGCATTCAAAGTGTCCATAGGAAAGCATTTTTCAATGCCTTCCTATGGACGCTCTGTGTGATGGAGGCATAATATGCCTCCAGCGTCGCAGATGCGCCTCTAGTGGCTGTCAGGAAGACAGCCACTAGAGGCTGGCTTAACCCCAAATGTAAACATAGCAGTTTCAGAGCAGGCAGGGTTAACCCCAGAGCGACCTGGCACCCAGACCACTTCATTGAGCTGAAGTTTTCTGGGTGACTATAGTGTCCCTTTAACTCAGCGTTCCGATGCAGGAAGTTACGGCATGGCATCACAGAGGCAGGTCCAGCGACTGCAGAGTCTCAATCTCAGCACTGAAAAAGAGGTAAGTAAAACTATCTTCTTACAAATTGTATTTACATTAGTGGGGAGCATAAATATATAAAGTGTAAAAAATAGGAATACATTAGGAATACAGGTTTCATTACATTAATTTTAATGTTTTAAGGACAAATATTAAGTTTTTGCACACATTGTTCCACATACTGAGAGGGGGGACCTTCCTGGTGCAATGTGCCCTTTAAAACCTGTAAAAAGTTTTACTTACATAAAAAACAGCACCTGGCAAAGCTCCCAGCGCTGTTTTTCCAAACCACCTTCAGACATCACTGGGGCCACATGACGTTCAATCACAGGCTGTCATTGGGCCATTTTACTGGCTCAGAGCGCATGAGTGCGGTCTGGACTGGCATGGGGAGGGTGGCAGAGGGAGTGGGGTTTGCTTCTAAAAATAAAAGAACAGCCGGCAATGGAGGGGGCGCGGAGGGATTGCCCATCTGGGAGGAAGGGTGCTAGGGGAGAGTTCTGCCTTTGAAAGGAAGATCTGCACGTGTGTTGTCTGTGTGCAGTGAGTGCTGACCACTGATGTAATGTATGCACAGAATTGAATTCAGTTCTGGGCTGCCAATATCACGTGTGCTGGGGGAGCAACTAGCCCCCAGCACGCAATTAAGAATATCTCAGTATGTGCAATGGTTCAAGCTGAAACATTGCACATACTGACTCCATCACAAGGACCACTACAAATCACTGAAGTGGTCATGGTGGTTGGAGTAGCCCTTTAAGTAAAAACATGTATGCTACTAAGTGCGCTGTGTCTGTGGGTCAGACAAGGTTACAGGCTGCATGCAATGCTGTAATATTCTAGAATATTCTCTGATGGCAAGAGATCTATTGCATTAGGTTAACAGGTGAAAATGAGTGAATTAATTTTCCATTTACACTACACACATTGCTTCTTAAAAGGGGATCTTTAATATCGGTCACAAGACCATCATGTGATATTCCATCTTCTTGTTTTCAAAGATATTACAAGAGGAAGAAAACATAAATATATTTTGCAGCGAGTACTGTATCTTCCTTATTCTGATTCAGTGAGAAACCTTATTAAGAACCAATCATGTGAACGTAACACTGTACGGGGGTGTGATAGGAAATGAGATGGCAGGGTTCCGTGATATAATGGTCTGAGGGAAAGGTCAGATGCTTTGTAAAAGTTCACTAGAACAGTTTAATACTTTAATTATGTATCTGCTGCATTGATTAACTAGTCTCCACATATTGAAAACTGCCCAATGGAATTTTACCCCTAAAAACAGCAGAGTCATAAAAATGTAGAGCGGCCATTCATATGACATAGTTTTTTTGTAACATTGTAAGAGTCGTTAAATAAAGATCGGGGGTTTCTCCTGGAAACACTAAAGCCCGGCCCGCCGGCATTTGCAATATAATGCGAACGTTTGACAACTCCTTTCACAGTTTTCAGAAAAGGTGATTAAATGTGACTAGATTAACAAACATGCGCGCTTTTACACTAACCTGTGAAGGAGCCTGTCTGGGTGGGTAGGGACTTGTACAGTGCATACACTGTATCAATATTAGGATGGGAAGTGTAGGAAGTATGGCTTGGTGATATTTTTGGGACGTTTCAGCAGCTACATACTATAATTACAATTACTGATATTCCACCTACCCCTCTGTGGCTTGGTGATATCGCCTACCGGCGGGAGGGCACAAGCTTTTATCTGCAGTGATATCTGTAAATTGCTGCAGTTATAAGCAAATCTGTGGAGGGAGACTGGGAACATCCCCACACCATAACCCATGTACTGAGCATAAAATATTCTGGTGACTGGAGTATAAGGATCAGTGGGGCTTAAAGTAGACTTGCCAGATATGCTTTTAACATATTTAAATGGTTTGAAGTAAAGGTGGACTAAATACTGCAAATGCGTATATTAAATCGGAAGTGTGTGGAGATAATTAGTCATTTCAGGTTCCACCTGATATTTGCTGTTTTACACAACTAGGGAACACTTAGTCAATAAGACCCTAGGTTTTATGATGTAATAAAACTTACTTAACCCCTTAAAGGACCACTATAGTGCCAGGAAAACATACTCGTTTTCCTGGCACTATAGTGCCCTGAGGGTGCCCCCACCCTCAGGGTCCCCCTCCCGCCCGGCGCTGGAAGGGGGAAAGGGGTTAAAACTTACCTTTTTCCAGCGCTGGGCGGAGAGCTCTCCTCCTTCTCTCCTCCTCCGTTCCTCCTCCTGGGCTGAATGCGCACGCGCGGCAAGAGCTGCGCGCGCATTCAGCCCGTCGCATAGGAAAGCATTTACAATGCTTTCCTATGGACGCTTGCGTGCTCTCACTGTGAAAATCACAGTGAGAAGCACGCAAGCGCCTCTAGTGGCTGTCAATGAGACAGCCACTAGAGGATTAGGGGGAAGGCTTAACCCATTCATAAACATAGCAGTTTCTCTGAAACTGCTATGTTTAGAAAAAAATGGGTTAACCCTAGAAGGACCTGGCACCCAGACCACTTCATTAAGCTGAAGTGGTCTGGGTGCCTAGAGTGGTCCTTTAAGGACCAAACTTCTGGAATAAAAGGGAATCATGACAGATCACACATGTCATGTGTCCTTAAAGGGTTAATAATGGCAAAATAAAGTACTTTGTCTAATCAAATTATCACTGTCTTTTGACTTGGGTAGCTCCCTTTGGCTGGCTTAGGATTATGGGATAGGTAGTTCACAAACAAGTGGGTTGCCAAGGTTATCCAATAACAATTAGCACACATAGAAGAGTAAATAGTATCCAAAACGTAAATGCACAGGTGCACTCCTAAGTAGATAAACCCCTGGGTTCCCCCCCCCAAAAAAAGCAATAAGTAACACATGAGGCACACCATAAGCAATGCTAAAATAAATATAGCTTAGCTTTATTATAAATAGTGTCACAATAACAAACATATAAAAGGACAAACAGAAAGTGATGAGGCTAGAAAAAAACAGACAGCAACACAGCTCAAAGACAAAACACAAGACACCAAAAAAAAACACACAACGTTTTGGCACCCTCAGGTGCCTTCCTCAAGTATTGTGTCTGGTTAGCGATTGATGTGAGCTGTGTTGGCAAATGTTTATTTTCTAGCCTTACCACTTTCGGTTTGCCTTTTTATACGTTTGTTATCGTCCCTTACTATTCATAATAAAACTATATTTATATTAGCATTTCTTGTGGTGTGAGTCCTGTGTTTAGACTTATTGCCAAGGCTATCACCGCTGAGAATTACTGTATACAACCTGGAATAACACATATTTGTGACATGACAAGACACTACAGATGTTAAAGAGGCGGACGTTCCTTCCAATACACAGGCATCTATCTGGTAGTACATATGAGGCTGATGAGCAAACAGTAGTACGGCTATTAATCTGGAGGGGAAGTATAGTTTTTTGGTTTGTTTCCTGTCAGCCTCTTACAGGAAATGACCAGATACAGCAGTTTGCCTATGGGAAATCAACAGTCAGTTAAATATATATATAAATAAATCAAAACATGCACACAATCCTTTTTGTGTTATAAAATGTTTACCACAAAACAAAACCAATGCGTGCCGAGTATGTATTACTCAAACCTAGCCGCGGTTATGGCGACAACCATCTTTTTCACCAAATTTGTTCCTCTCTAAACAACCAACATAGCTTTATTTTCCAGTTAACCCTTTCAGCCCTCTCCAAAATCATTACACTACTCATAATACCACATTCATTATGGGGTGGAGAGGAGTGGTGGGCACGTACTATCCAGCTGCAGTTAAAAAAATTGTAAATAATAAATAAAATAAAAAAAAAAAATAAAAAAAAAATAACATTTATAGGGGAGATTTATCAAAGTGCTCTGTTCTAAAATGTAATACAAAAATGTAAACGGGGAGGAGTCACCAATGGAACGTGCCTTGTGGTTTCCATGGTGACTGCCCCACTTTTAGTACTTTAGACCACTATGATAAATCACTCCCATACGTGTTCATCTAATATCCTCACCAAGACAGCAGATATAGCGGTGATAAATGTGGTGAATACAAATAAATACAAAAAATATATTCTGTACAAAACAACGTGAACATCTCATCACGTGTGTAAACTTGTGGTCAGCCATCATGCTAAAATAGTTTTAAGTTACAAAATGTAATGTATTGTTAAATTAATTAATGCTAGTGCTAAATGCAAAATATATAAATCAATAAAAAATGTTGTCCATTATTTTGCATTTAAGCTGCGCATGATTCCTATTGCATCCATATTTCACACCTAAGCTCACCCCCAAACCCAGATAGCCCCTCTTTTGTCTTACATCAAATACTCCCCCTCCCCATCACTTTTTGTCTCTGTTTCACTACTGACAATAATAATTCACACAGCGTTTCCTGTATTTTCATACAACTGTGAAAGAGCATCTGATATTTGCAAAACTAAGTTCTGGTCAAGGCAACCACCAGTAAACAGGAACCGATTAAAGGGACACTATTGTCACCAGAACAACTACAGCTTAATGTAGTTGTTCTGGTGAGTATAATAGCTCCCTTAAGGCTTTTTTCATGCAAACACTGCCTTTTCAGAGAAAAGGCAGTGTTTACATTGCCTCTAGGGACACCTCCAACTTGCCACTCATTAGATGGCCACTGGAGGTGCTTCCTGGGTCAGTGCTGCCGAAAAAGCAGCCATGACATTCAGCGTCCCCACGCTCTGCATGGTACATTGCCTCTAGGGACACCTCCAACTTGCCACTCATTAGATGGCCACTGGAGGTGCTTCCTGGGTCAGTGCTGCCGAAAAAGCAGCCATGACATTCAGCGTCCCCACGCTCTGCATGGAGACGCTGAATTTTCCTCATAGAGATGCATTGATTCTACGCATCTCTATAAGGAGGTCTTGATTGGCCAAAACGGCATTTGGTCCCGCCCCTGTGCCGATTTAAGCCAATTAGATTGGCTACAAATTGGCTGTTTGATGAAGTCACAAAGGGGCGGAGCTAGCACCGGCAGACCTGCGCAGCGCTGGAAATAAGGTGAATTTTAAACTTTTATAGGGGGGCAAGCCACCTATATGGTGGGTTAAACACTATAGGATCAGGAATACATGTTTGTGTTCCTGACCCTATAGTGATCCTTTAAATCCTATACAGAATAGTATCCACATATGAAATCCTGAAGAGCTGAACTGTCCATCATTTCTTTAGCCAGCAACTCGTGAGATTAAACATTTTCCTACCATTCCATCATTGTTTTAGTAGGATCTCGACAGCAAGCCCATTAGCATTTAACTTGACAATATAAATGGCACATCGAATATAAAAGATAGGCAAACATTATAAATCTTATATTGACCTAGCTTTATTAATAAATTAATATTAGTCTTTTTATGTAGATTCTGTCCAAACTTGGAAATTTTAGTAAATAGTTAATCAAATATACACTAAAATTAACATTTTAAAAATTCTGTTGGCAGAGAGTACTTGCTGGCCTTGTTTTAATAGCAATGTTAACATTAACATGTCTACATATGCATATTTTCAGTACAGCCATGATGTAACTTGGTTCAGCTGGGAGATTTGCTGGTTCGCAGAATTGTATTTATTTTTTCACCTTATTGCCCATTCATTCAGAATTTCACTTCTGTATCATCGTCAAGCTACCACCAGATTTATTGCCCCCTTTTGGGGGTGGTGGGGTTATTTCTGGTGAGATTCTTTGCTGACTTGAACAGTTAAATCCCCCCTGCTCTGTAATGCTGGAAACTTACACCTTCACCAGCACTTACAACACATGGAAAATGTAACAATAAACGTTAGATTCATTTGAGAACATATTGGTCCACATCCCGTGCTACGTGTGTCAATCTCTGACACAGGCAGCTGCCTACAAATGACGTGTGTCATCCTAGCAAGATTTTTTTTTATTGTAGTTTGCTTTTATAGAGCATGTAGCCATCTCCTTAACAAGATACTGGTGCCACCAGTGTAATAAACTAGATATATATTTTAATAAGTACAATGTGCTTGTTTCAGAATAGCTTGCTGGTCAATTATTGGGTCCCAATCACTAACTGAAACATTAGTGAGCATTATGGCTAGCACATTTTATAGATGAAAGCATGTAGCTTATTCAAACGCAAGTCAAACGGACAGGACTTCAAGTAAAATGATTTGAATTAAACATCCTGGAAATGTAATGTGCTAACATTGTATATGAACATAGATATTGTATTCCTTAGTTTACTGATAATCTAACCGGGTGCGTTAGAAATGTAACCATACTACAATGTTTTGCCACAGTTGCTTACCCCGGGACTTTGGGAGTTAACTTTGAATTATCAAAATTCCGCAGTGAGAACTCTTATGCGAAAATAAACACAATATATAAAACACTATTGAGGTTAACAATTGCTTAAATGCAGAAAAGACTAGATCAGAGTTTAAAATATAAAGTCCTAAAATACTAGGCAGGCTTTAAACGTTACCACTGCAAGCCTGGAGAGTCAGTGGCACACTTACCAGGAGTGAATTTCTACTTGCCAAAAGTAAATTTTCACTTGACAAAGGGTTATAGCAAGAGAATGGGACTGGGGCACACTATGCCATTAATGGCTAAACACAACACTGTTGTTTGTGGGTTGCATTTGCCATGAAATCTCTTCCCTAAGCTTTTAGAGTATTTAAAATGTACATCATCTTCACATTATACCAGGTTCTGACACAAATTGTTGTGAACCTGCATCGGATTTGTTTTCTAATCAGAAAACAGAGGCACATTAAACCTGCTGCTTGCTTGTTTCATGTTAGCCGCAGTGACACACCTCGACCCATGCCGAGACAAGACAGGAATACTTACTGGACACACAGCAAGAGGACAAAACCTCTGACAACTAAGAGCTGACAACCAGCAGCATCAGATTACACTACACAGAGGAGCATTAAGGTAAACCTGTTCACGCTGTTACATCTTCACTGACAGGTAGATGGCATGTGTCTCACCTGCCGTGCTTTGATGGAATGTGAAAGGCAGTCAAAGTGTCATGATTTGTGGAGAAGATCATGAAGCTGAAACGATACTGAAGTACGGGAAATGGATTCTGTAAACTGCAAATAAACATTGGAGCAACTTTTAACTGTAACTTAAAGATCTGAAACCAGTGAAGTAGTATGCTAGTTCATTCTGGTAAGGTACAGGTTGCATCAGAGAAAAATATTCAGCACAATTATGACGATGAGTAGAGAAACATAAATGTAATGTAAATATTAAATGGGGGTAAGCTCTTGATTTTGACACAAATAAAGCGCCATAGCTTGCTGGAATGCTTTATATGCAAATAGTTTGTCCTCTTTTAATTGTACAAAAAGTTCAGATTTCAATAGAAATTGGCACTTTTTAAAAAATTAACCCTGTTACACCCCCTGACTATGAATCAGACAACCGGTCCTGGTACTTCCTGGTTTGGTTAACACAGTGGAGCTAAATTCAGGAGGCAGCAATGACCCAGAGCAATTCTCATTGAGTTGTATTGAGAAGTCTATGATTGGACAGCCACAGAAAGTGCCTTCTACAGTTTGCAAAGGCTGCAGACAAGAGATCTGCAGCTTTGACAAGTTGTTTTTATATATACCCCCAATAAAAATATGCATAATTAAATACATGCATGTTTTCATTGGGGGCATATCTACTAAACAGTGATATTCTAAGCATTCCAAGTAGAATTTTTGAGGACACATACTTCTATAGTTTCACTACTCAGATCCATTAACAAAAATGCAGGTTCTTAAAAGTGCCACTCTGGGGTCTATGCTTATAGAAAAGGTTACGGTGCTTTGAATAACTCTGTTGCAGCACACAGTGTCTTACAACCACAGTCATTTGCACAAAAATGGCATGACTTGTGCACACCATGTTCAATACCCTCACATGTCTCAGAGACTGTTTGCCTGTGTCTCAGGAGAACACTGGGCACTGCACAAATTGAGTAAACAAACATAACTATAGTTGCTCTCAGTACAGTGGACACTTTCCCTTATCTGATCTAACAAATTAAAATGTGGTAGGAGACTGAACTGCATATCTCAGAAACTTCTTGTGATTCACCCAGAGGACCTGACCCCAAAGACCAGACTATGGGGCTCCTATTTGGATGAATCTCTGTCTGGTCTGGGAAGAAGGGCTGTCTGCTACCTTAGCTTGCTTGTGCAATTGGCATAGGTAAGGAATGTATAAAAATGTATATAAACAACATATTTTAATATATTATCTTGGGAAACTTAATGGGTCACTTCTATACTGCTGTAACTCTCTACAGCAGATATGTCGCATGTTGAATTTCTGCAAAGACCCCACATGAGACATGGTACTATATCTGAAGGACATTATTATTATATTATTATTATTTTAAGCCATCAGATTCTGTAGCGCTGTACAATGGGACAACTCACCTCCTCTTCTCTCTCCTTGGTGCCTCCATCTTCTTCAATTCCTGGCAGACAAGGCGTCGTACATTTTCACATGTGCAAGAATACCGGAGTCTATGGAAGATCTCATGAACCCCTTAGTGGGGAGCCATCTATAGCAATTGGTGCTGACCCTACACATTGTATTTATATAAAAAAAATATATAGATATGAAGAAAAAAAAACACAAAAATAAAGTAACTTTAAAATAAGTAAAATGTATTTGACGTTTGGTAATATTATTTTAAAACACAAGCCTTTCTCTTTTGCATGTGAATGAGTACACTGTGTTTCTATGTGAAGTGTTCCAGGACTGTTGTTTAATAAGCAGAGCCATTTCTTTAAAAGGGAGCACAAGAGCCTATTCATAACTACATATGGGCAAAAGGTCAATTTTTTTCCTCTGCGAAAAACTTTCATTAAATTGCCATCATTTTCCAAGAACTCTCTGTTATGCATGCATGTTTTTATTTTATTTTTAATAAAAATAAAAAAAAGTGAAATGTTAACTTTGTGATACAATCTCCGCTGAATATTTGTTGCATAACTTAAATACTCAAAGTGTAAATAATTAAAGGGCCCGCCACACCATTACAATAGAGACCAATATAAACTGAGTATATCATAATCGCTTGTCAAACTGGCTTAGCATTGATACTTTGAAAACATATGTACTCTCTTTCCCGCCTTCATTTTTAATTAAATTAATTGTGTATATGTGAAAAGAAACAAGACATTAGCCTTTCTTGAGAAAGTATTGCAAATGTCGTGCTGTACAAACACAAAACAACACTTTATAAAGGCTTTCCTGCCTTGAATACTCAGTCTGCCAGGAGCCCATATGGCCTCACATACACATCCACCTTTTTTGAATTGCAATTAAGATTTTTATTACAGCCTTTTCTGTTTGTTTTTTTTGTTTGTTTGTTTTGCTATTCAAGTGTTCTTTAATTTCAAACAGTTTTTATACATTCTGATGGTCTTTTATTTAGTCTTTTTAGGGGCCAAAGAACCAAGTTTGACAAAAACAAGACTTAAAATGTTAAATATAAAATAGTTTTTTGCTTTTTTTTTTGTTTACATTTTTTTTATTTGAGATTTCTTGGCCCACCTTATTATTATTAATGTGAAGAGGGTATGTAGGAACGTCGGCTTTGGTATGACATTTTACCTTGGGGTCCCAGCCACTGCTCTCCTCTCGGCAGACCCCATGAAAGCTCCACGCAGTGAGCTTCTGCTAGCTATACCTAGCTAAGTCCTTCAGTGCAGGTCAGTTGATCAATAGGCTAAGCCTTGAATCACCAGACTTAGCTTAGAGCTGAGAGGTCTCATTTGCGGTGAAGGCAAGAAGTGGCTTCCAGTGGACCACAGGTTAAAAGTCAAACTACTACTAGCAATGGGAGTGCACGAGGGCATACTGTAGTGGTTATGGTGCTTGGAGTGTTACTTTAATTCTGAACATTCATTAATCCCTGATAAGATAAACATCTTAAGGGTTCTCTCTTAGGATATGCTAATGACTCACCTTTTTTTATTTGCTTTACAATTTGCACTAATTCTAAAGGGTCACTGTCTGCAGTTATAATTGATAAACTCACACCTGCTATTTCCATGTGCTTTCTTAGTACTTACATTTGGGAAATATATCCACTGGCTGAGCTCAGTTACGCTCGGAAGCCAGCCTGGGAGCCGTGATAGTAAATATCATGGATCTTTAAACTGACTTCCAAGCATAACTGAATTTAGGAGCAGCGCGGCAATTTACGCCGTCTAGTAAATCAACCTATTAATCTATATACATTATGCTGGTGCAAGTGCCAACAAATATATAGATTATATGAAGATTGCTTATGTTTATTTGCAGATAGCTGCCAGAAATGAATGCTAGTGGCCTTGCTTGGGACTGCCCACCCACCAAATAACCCAAACACATCACACAATGCATGCATACCTGCCAAGTGTCCCTATTTAGTAGGGTCATTCCATATTTCGGGTCCAAATCCCTCTGTTCCGCTTTTTAATCTAATGTCCCTGTTTTCTAGGATCTCCATATTGTCTGAGTGTAAAACAGAGCTCCACAGCAATATTATTCATAAGGATATGTCTTTAAAGTGGCACTGTCACTGTCTAGGACTTTGCAGAATTTTCAAAGACCCCTCGATGGTTACATCGATGCTGGGGGTCCGCTGGGAGGGGCAGGCAAAAGTTTTATTTACATATATATGTGGAAAAAAACTTGGGAAATGTAGTCAACAAACAGAAGAAAAACACATCCCTATAGCATCCCAGCCATATACACTGATCAGCTACAACACCTGCCTAAGATCGTGTAGGTCCCCCTAGTGCAGCCAAAACAGCTCTAATGCATCGCAACATTGACTCCACAAGACCTCTGAATGTGTCTATTGGTATCTGGCACCAAGACATTAGCAGCAGATCATTTAAGTCTTGTATGTTGCGAGGTGGGGCTTCCATGAATCAGATTTGTTGTTCCAGCACATCCCACAGATGCTTAATCGGCTTGAGATCTAGGGAAATTGGAGGCCAAGGGAACACCTTGAACTCTTTGTCATGTTCCTCAAATCATTCCTGAACATTTTTTGCAGTGTGGCAGGGTGCATTATTCTGTTGAAAGAGGCCACTGCCATCAGGGAACACCAGTGCCATTAACGGTTTTACGTGGTCTACAACAATCTCCAGGTAGGTGGAACATGTCAAAGTAACATCCACATGAATACCAGGACCCAAGGTTTCCCAGCAGAACATTGCACAGAACATAACTACCTCCGCTCGCCTGCCTTCTTCCCATAGTGCATCCTGCTATCATCTCTTCCCCATGTAAGCGATGCACATGCACCCGGCCATCCAGCTGAGCTAAAAGAAAAAGTGATACAGATGACCAGGCAACCATCTTCCATTACTCCCTGGTCCAGTTCAAGCCCCCAACGAAGATGCTTTCAGAGGTAGACAGGGGGCACTCTAAACATTCTGCTGCTTCACATTATCATACAGAGCAAACTGTGATGTACAGTATGTTCTGACACCTTTCTATCAGGGCCAGCATTAAGGTTTTCATCAAACTGAGCTACAGTAGTTCTTCTGTGGGATCGGACTAGACAGGCTAGTTTTTAGTCCCCACGTACATCAATGAGCCTTTGGCACCCATGATCCTTACAATGGTTCACTGGTTGTACTTTCTTGCACCACTTTTGGCAGGTACAAACCACAGCATACTGGGAACACCCTACAAGACTTGTTGTTTTGGAGATGCTCTGATCCATTCGCCTAGCCATCACTATTTGGCTCTGGTCAAAGTCACTCAGATCTTTTTAGCTTGCCCATTAGTCCAGCATCCAACAAATTATTTTTTAAATTCAAGAACTGACTGTTCATTTGCTGCCTAATATATCCCACCCCTTGACAGGTGCATTGTAGCGATATATTCAATGTTATTTACTTCACCTGTGAGTGGTTTTAATGTTGTGGCTGATCAGAGTATATACCATGCTGGTTTTAATCACATTGGTGGTAACTTTTATAAACATTCAAGATAATAAACGCCAGGTACTTTTTTTTTTCATCTGCTGGTGTCAGCAAAGTCATGCTACTATAAAAACAAAAACAAAAACAAAAAACCCCAACAACCTACAAAACCAAAGCCAATATTTTCACACTAGTAGAAATGCCGGGCACTGCGTTTACACCATGCATTATGGGACTTTCTCTGGGATCCCCAGAGAAAACAAAACAGGGAAACAAGGCTGGAATCCAAAATCAGGACTGCCCTGCAAAATGCAGGACATTTCACAGATATATGCTGGGGGTCCTGGCCTTGAGCATAGTTGTTTTGGAAACCTCTAGTGAACATTATGATGTAGTAATTTTTCTTGGATTTAAGTCATTTAGTACAACTACATCTTGGCCTACTGATGAACAGTTAAAAAAAAGAATTCTGCTCCAGAACTTCTTGCACTGAAATAGTTTAGAGACTCAACCTAGTGACAAGGGGAGAGAAAATGCATGCATATCTTATACAATCCCTGTGACAGCTGGGTGTATGGTTGAAGCCATGATGGACGCAGTCATTGATCAGGAAATGGAAGTCTGTTAGAGAGGCCGGGGTATTCGCAACGCAGAAAGCGAGAGAACTAACAATCTATTTAGTGTTTTCTTTAGACTTTTAGCCCAATACATATACACGTGGAAACCGTTATTAGTGATGGCTAAGCTTGGCACTGCCTATAGATGCAAACTACATTTCCCATCACACTCTGCCTAAAGCCTGGCCGAGCATCATGGGAAATGTAGTTTATCAACAACTGCAGTGTCAAGGATAGCACAGACTTCCTCCTGCTCCATATTTTAATAGAATCTTCAGCAATGCTGATCACAGCATTTCCTATAAACATAAATCTATGACAGGTGCTATAAAACAAGACAGGCTCTGCATAAGGCCCTTCTTAGAACAGTCTGACACTAAACTACCCGAACAGGCCTTCCACTGTGATATGTTATTTATTACAACACATAGTATTTATACCTATTTAATATCACTACTGATAAAAACAACACAAAGTTTCTCTAAAGAAACCCATAAGCAGTTGATTAAAAGCCAAAATTAGAAGACACATTAATACGTATAACAAAGTAATGAAGTACAAGTGCATAGTCTTAATAATAATGTTTTTAAAAGTCTATAAAACAACTTTTTTTTTTTTTTTGAAAAAGCATCTTAGTATAATTATCAGAGTTTAACCCAGTGCCACATGTTTTTAACGTGGTCCCAAAAGTGCCATCATGTTAATTGGAAAGTAAGACAAAACCTTCTTTAACATATAAGCAATGTAATTATAAAAGCGAGTTAATAGCGTAGTGCCGGCTAATGTGCTCCAGCGATATTTTGAAACTGTAATCCGATACTACTGTTTCCATCCTTGTGCCGGGCTCTCCTCTCCCTTGTTGCATGCTGTGCTATTTCGAGCCCAGAGGGCATAGCAGCCCTTGCTGTTTATTAATGTTCAGACACAGGGTTTTGACTGCGATGCACACTATACACACCCACCAACATCAGTCTATTTGTGCAGGCTCCCACCACTCTCAGGCCTAGTTAGACAGTCCGATTTTGCAAGGATTGGGGTGAAAGTCTGCTCACTATGTTTAATACTGTCCAGCAAAAACTAAACTTATTATGATATGCCCTTAACCCTTTAATTAACACATTATCAGCAATAACGAATTTCACTTGATAAATCTGCTGCAGGCCATTGATGTGACGAACCGCAAAACACTGTCTATAGCAGTATTGTTACTGGATAAAGGAGCGACACTTTATAAAAAAAGAAATTGGTGTCTTTTGAACGAACTGCAAGATGTCAGTCAATTTAGAAGTTGTTGGATACAAGAAAAGGGAGGGTTTGGCACAGAATAAAAAAATCCCTTTTCTAATCCAGACAACGGCACTAGAAAAGCAGGAACAATTCGGATGACTGCATGATGTAAATTTTGGTTCCCCAGTTAACACGTTGACATTTCCCCAAATACATTTTAAGTACACTGTAAATTAAAATTGTCATCGACTAAAAAATTGTGGGTGACTAGGTCAGTTTCAGGTGGGTACACACATGTAATCTATATATAGTGATGGTAAAATCAAAAGAAAATGTGTAGATTAAAAGGTGTACGTATGTGAAGAATGTTTCTACAGTCACCCATTTGGCCTCCGCAGTGAATGTATGTATTTGCCCTTTGCCCTACTGACGCATTCAAGGAACACCGCGTTGTTATAAATAAATATATTTACTTATAATGCTGAAATGTTGTTGAGTGTCTGCCCTATCCCATAAAGCTTTGATCTGTCTAGGTCATAATTAGTGATGCTTCTCACAGAGAAGTATCGCCAGGCAGGGTGCATGCACAGAAATCCCAAGCATTGCCTTTCGATTTGTGATATCTGATTGACAGCTGGGAGGGTGAAATTTAGGAGTGTTATAAAAATGCAGAATTCTCTTGAAAACAGCACTTTTATAAAGTAAAAAAAAAAAAAAATAAGAATTGTGCAAATGTGTGTCAGGAAGCCTTGGATCACCTCTGTCTACATTCATCTTAATACAATGTACAATATCTATAATGTCTCTGTAATATCTACAGTTGTAAAACAGATTTTAACATCCTGGAGCAGTGAGTCATTGATTTCCTATACATACACACAAGACATATCATAGTCATCACAGAACTTGCCAATATTAAAATGGCAAATTATCTGCAGTTGAATGAATAAACATGGTTTTAAAAACGACAAGGAAAATGTTGCTTTAAGTAACAATAGATTGCTAATGTTCCCACAAGAGTAAAAGTGGAAGTTTGTTATCCTTTTCTATGAGAAGGACAAGTTTGGGATGTTAATTGTGAAAGAGTTAAAGGGGTACAAGATAAAGTTTTCATTTCAATAGTATTCATCAAAACACACCAAATATAGTAGATTTAAATACAGAAATGCACTACACTACACACCTCTTAATATTGTAACAAATACAAAATATACAAAGCCAGATAACAAAACGTGTACATTATGCCACTTCGGCTTGTAAAAAGTGTTTTAGGAATGTTAGCATTTGTCTTATTTTTTTTAAAAAATGCCATTTTCTCTTATAAACTCCATTGGTAATGCCTCTCGACCATCTAGGGGACAGCCAAGGTCTTGTTACATAGTTACATAGCTGAAAAGAGACTTGCGTCCATCAAGTTCAGCCTTGTGAGTTTATAAAGAAGCACTCATCTAAATGCTTCTCTGTGAGATCACAGTGATTGCCGCACGAACCCTGTATCCCAATTCTTCTTTATGAGAAGTATGAGACTGGTGATGATCTCCTGGGGGCTTTTCACTATTATTATTTTATTATTTATATAGCGCCATCAGATTTCGTAGAGCTGTACAAAGGGTGGACTAACAGACATTTAATTGTAACCAGACAACTCGACGTACAGGAACAGAGGGGTGGAGGGTCCTACTCAATGAGCTTACATTCTAGAGGTAGTGGGGTATAGTGAGACAAAGGGTAAAAGTAGGGGTACAAAGTAAGTTGTTAGAAAAGTATTCGCTGAGGGCTTAGTAGGTAATTTTTGACAGGTGTAATATATTCAGAGGGTATTAAATGGAAACCAGAACATTCCAACATTTTAAATAAATGTATTGATTTCTAACATTGGACTGTTCCTTCAACAACTTGAGTCGGATTTCATTGCTGTACAGGATGGGTTATTTAATAAACCAAGAATTTTTAAACCAAAATGGTTGAATTAAGAAATGTCACCAGCTCAAAAAAAAAAAAAAGTAAAATTCCTTGGTCAATTCTCAGTTTATTGAACATATATTGGATCTGTTTTACAACTGTAGCTATTGAAGACACATAGATAGAACCACCCTGGAGCATTTTATGAAGATTAAAGCCTTCTGTTTATGCACATGTAACAGAGGAACTAGTAAGGGTGCACACACTCCAGGGCTCAGTGGGGGGCACTTTGGTTGGCCTTCAAACTAAGAGCCACCAGATTGGGGGCCCAAACGAGTGTCACAGTCTGTTAACGGCATCTGTGTGTGTCAATGTGTGTGCATTCATGCGTGCCAGGCTGTGTGTCTATTTGTATTTCTGAGTATGTGGTTTTGTAAATATACCCCTGCATTCAAACACCAAACACTGCATTTGCATACATAAGCCATATAAAAATGGAGTGTTGGATCAATGTTATCACTGCCTTACAACCAAGAAACCACATTCGTTTCATATATTATATTATAAGCTTGTTTGCGCAGGGTCCTCTTTATATCCCCTTTGTATAACTATAAAACGCTGTTGTATGTGTTCCCACTATATAAATGCTAACAATAATTTTTAAAAAGCCTTCATTCAAACACATATACATTGCACACATATACAGCCCTGCAAGGACCCAGCAAGCAAAGCATTATGGGAGATGTACAAAAATTTGAGGATCTACCTTTGGGTCTCCCCTGATCTATAATGGGCTCAAAAACTTTCTGTAGGCACAATCCTCTCTTCATGAGAGAATGAGCAGGGCGCTAAACACCCTCTGTTCCTGTGCGTCCAACTCATCTTGTTGCAAATGCATGTCTGTTAGTACACCTATTGTACAGCGCTACAGACTTTGTTGGCACTTTATAAATAACAATGAGGTCCAGCACTGTGTATTTGCTGAGGTATCTTAAACCTGAAGTCCTGTGAATCCCATAGAGCAACCTTCTGATGTCACATGAGTTGGCTATAGACAGTGATATACAAAGACCAGCTTTCTGTTTTGTTTTGACTTTGTAAGCAGTGCAATTACTAGTAAAAAGGAGAACTCCCTCATGCTGTTTGCGGAAAAGAAAGATAAGCAAGTTTTTTTTTTTTTTTTTCTTCTTGTTCCACAGCCTAGACGTTTGGAGTGGGCGTGTTTCTATCACACTCCGACTAGCAAAGTCTGTAAAGTCTGATTCCTGGGTTGGAAGGACATACTTTCTTTAAACCAAGACTTTGCAGGTTTTGAAACAGAAAGGACGGTAAAATAAAAAATTTTTCGCTGCTGGGTTCAGATCAATGCCTGGTATTTAGAGTGTGGGGACAGGTCTCTCTATACATAGGTGGAATAAGTACATTTCCAAGTATCGTGAAAATGAGGCAAAAACTATAAATGTGTTAATATCTCAACACAAATAGTGAGGACATCAAATTAGTGCACTTAAAAAGTTAACAGTTGGTTAGTGTTTACACTAAATTACGAAATGGAAAGACGTCTCAGGTCACAATTACTGTACAGCGAAACTGCAGTTTCAAATTTGTTTACCCCAGTTTTTCTGGCAGAAAATTAATAATTTTCCAATCACCAATAACCCAAATATTAACATGGGCACTCTAAGCACCATAACCACTGTATCATGCTGTAGAGTGGTTGTTCTAGGCGTCACACGTCAATATCGCACTGTTAAAGTGTCAAACCCTTTTTTGATTGGTTTGTGCCCACAGTCTGGTCCCTCTTCACCGACATCTCTTGAGCAGAAGTTCCTAATTCCCCATTGGCAATATCAATTCTGTTCAAAGACAGAATATATACTCCAGGGTACATTCAAATCTTACACTGCACTTCCCTAATAATCGCTAATATAAACATGAAAATATGGCCTACAATAAATAAAATAGTTATGTAAATTCATCATCAAACTATTTCAATATTTTTGTTGACTTTTTATGTTTCCTTCTTTTTTCTGTTGCGTGATGTAACAGGACAGAGGTCAAGTGATTTTTCTTTACACCTTACCAAAGGGCTACATTTCAGAAATGAAACTTATGTCCATTTCCAGTCGACTTAATGTACCGATCTAAAAACAAGGTTCCCTTTGTATAAATGTTCCTCTGAATAAATACATATGTAGAGTTTTGCATGAAGTTGAAAACATCTTTTCCAGCTGGAAAAACGGCAGTATTCTAAAATTTTTGGTTCCAAGAGTAATACAAATCGTTTTACGGAGCAACTTCTTACCTCGAAATATTCTGAATATATTTTTTTTTTTTTTAATAATGACTGCTAAAGTTATTTCTATATGAGCAGATTTTATTTTATTTTTCTAACGGTGTTATTACCTAAGTAGAAGACTTTAGAGGAATCAAAAAGGAACTGCAAAAATTAGGCCAAATGTCATGAATGAAAAAATTTGCAGTTTCAGATTTTTTTTTGTCCCAAATTGCCTTTTTATACTAAATTTTGCCATTCCCTTGACAATTCTCTACAAGTCCCAGAGAAGGGAATAAAAGCATAAATTCTCTCTGGATACAAACTTTTAACTAACCAGAGTGCTACAATTTGGCACAGACCTCTGCTTATCATCTTATTTTGGAATTTCCAAATCTAACTTACTGCTGTTGAACAATGCGCTGGGAAAAACAAGGTATCTTCGGGGAAAAAAACCAACACAGATCGTTATAGACCAGGACCAACATTCTAGTTAAGCTAGGAAAGCAATATCTTCTATTGGATTCACTATAGTAATTTTGCATTTAAGTGGATTGAGTTATTTGAGGCTAAAATAGGAATATTATTTTGTTTAGAAAATAATAAAATATTAGAGCAAAAACATAGTACTAGTATAATACAATTGATTTTAATTTAACTTAGAGAGTGCCTAGAGGTTGGAAGTGGCCCGTTTTAATTCATTGATAAAATGGAAAATAAAAAATATGTCTTCATAGTTATGGTTCTTCTGCTAAAACCCTGTAAGCAGACAGTGAGAAAACAAAACAGACAGGAGTTTCTCTCTCTGGTACATGGACTTATCCCAGCTCTGTTGTCTACCATCCAAGAACTTTAGGGCAAGGAGTGTCCCTTTTATTAAATCTGGAACCTAGCGTACTCAATATTAGCATTAAATATACATTTTGAGCTTAGAATTGCTGGGGCTCATCACTCAACACAGCTGTTCACAGAGACACATATATAATGAAGATATGAAGATACAAAACTATCTCTATATACTGAGTATACTACACACTTGTTTAAAAGAAAATTTGTCATGGCTTGAAACTTCATTGTAGCCTATAATTATAAAATTATTTTAGAGATAATCATTCTATTTTTAGGTCGAATGAACTGCCACTTCCTGTTTAACAGGTGATGTTGCCTTAAATGCCTTATTCTTAACTGTGAATCAAACACACACAAACATAGCAGCTCCACCAAAATAGCATAGGAATTATTCATTGCATTATGTTATATTACAGCCAGCAATGTGATACACTTATTATAGCCATCGCAAAAAAAAAGAAAAAAAAAAGAAAAGCTAAGCAGAGATAATGAATTTTAAAGTATTTGTCTAAGCTATTCTATTGGCTAAATACTTCCGATCAGAGATATCTTTAAACACAAGGTTTTCAGAGAGAGAAACCTTCATCTAGATTGCCGATCAATACATCAATATCTTCATTGGCATTGTATTGTTAAAGGGCTGCTCCAGGAACTATGTCAGTGATTTGAAGTGGTTATAGTGCTTTGAGACTGCATGTGCAGCATTTTACTATGTAACACTGTGTGTTTAACCCTTTAATGCCGGAAAAAGAGTTCAGACAACATAATATCAATTCTGTGCATATTGTTTGATTTAAAAAAAAATAAAAAGTACAGTTTTTCTATCCTTTTCTGTGCATTCTTCCAAGATCCACTCGCACACGTACATGTAGATTTTCAGAACTGGTGAATGTCTCATTAACCTACCCAACAGAGCAAAAATGTTTTTACAGAAGCATGGCTCTGTGGGTATTTTGGATCATTGCAAACAATTCCGTACTCTGGTAGAGTTGTGCCGCTATGCCGAAGCACTAACAAACTGTGCAGTGTCCAGACAAAGTAACCGAAGAACACAGAATTAAAGCGCTTCCATCTCACGCTGAATAAATAATTCTACGCCAAGAGTAATATCCCACTTTGTGAAAAGTATGGACATTGTTCTTAAAATGTAGATGTCAAAATGGCATTTGTCTCCAAAATATACTTTTAGCTAACTGTATAATACAAAGTTGCCTTGTTTCACTGTTTTGAAAAATTCCTAAAGAAGAAAGCACTATTGATATTTTCTATTTTTATTTGACTTCTGCAGGTTCAGTGTAATTCAGGCAGGCATCAGTGCTTTTCATATTACCGTCTGTCCAGCTGCCTGCAGCCCCGTTTTGTAGTCTATAAAGTTTATATTTCATTGCACAATGGATCCATGCCCAGAGAGATTACAATCTAATATTTGAGACGCAAGGAAGTGTGGATGACGTAAATCACAAATGAGACCAAAAGAGCATCATTGCAGAATTCTCAGTTTGAATCTTGGAGGAGAAGGTGTTAAAAAGAATCGCATACTGTGAGTGTCAAACACCATGCGAGCAGCTCATTTAACAATCATCGACACGTTCAGTTACTTGTTGCCGATAATACAGCAGTTACCAAAAATTCTACCATCAGAATTCCACTGGAGACCACAGTTACTTAGTGGTAACAAGTTCACACAGTGCCTGCAGGGTTGGTCAATTCTACTGCTGTGGGTAACACAGAGATACCCACAGCCATGACGTGGCATTGATGGCCTGTTCATGGCTCCAGAGATGTGCTGAGCCTATATTTATAAAATTATTGTTACTACTAATGAGCATTATTGGGAGTTTACAAGAATCTTAAAGATAACAAATCGCGGGAATAAGCACATAAAGGATAACTACAAAAAGATATGGAAGGGCTGCGCCAAATAAGGGTAGATAGTCCAGTAAAGTGTTGCTAAGGTGCCAATAGATGGTCTAGGATACTTGATAGAGTTCCTCTGTGGATGCGTCTAGTGTAGACCGTTCCGTATATGTAAATACAAGAGAGGTAGAGGCGACTAATGGTATAGTATGAAAGTTCAGGGTGTGATAGGTAACAAAAAGTAAAGAACTCACATTCAAGAGAGCTATGGCCAGCTCTGGTGTGGATTGCGTACAGCGGTATAATCCCATCTTATGGGATATGTAGGGAGGGGGTCTCCGTCAACACCGTCTGGTAGTCCAGAACTCGGAAAAGAAAGACAGATTATACCGCTGTACGCAATCCACACCAGACCTGGCCATAGCTCTCTTGAATGTGAGTTCTTTACTTTTTGTTACCTATCACACCCTGAACTTTCATACTATACCATTAGTCGCCTCTACCTCTCTTGTATTTACATATACGGAACGGTCTACACTAGACGCATCCACAGAGGAACTCTATCAAGTATCCTAGACCATCTATTGGCACCCTAGAAATACTTTACTGGACTATCTACCCTTATATGGCGCAGCCCTTCCATATCTTTTTGTATCTATCCACCGAAGGACCCGAGGGGTTTTCCTTCATTTGGGTTGCTGCCGACCTTGACTAATTTTGTGATTACTAGCGCTGAATTCTTTTTGTGTTTATCTACATAAAGGATAACATTTGATAGAGCTGTAAAACATTTTAGAGGAATCTTAACAGTAAAATTTCATGATTCCTGTAAAATACAAATGTTGCAAACACAAAAAGACAAAGTGGATGGCCACAACCTCTTTAAGCTCCGGATACCGAGTGACTAAACAAAGCTAATTTGCAGCCCCACTGTATCACCCGAGTGTGGACTCACCTATCCCGGTGTAGGCTGCGAGTAGATGCCTTTTTTGTTCCCGCAATTGAGCAGGAAAACCAGACGGCGATCTAGGGCCTATCTGGAGTACTGCACCGCACGGGTCGCACCGGGAGTCCGAGAACTGACGGAGGCAACGCATTACTTACCTCAACCTCGGGCCACACCACCCTCTCGAGACATGGACAAAATGGGCAGGAGATCCCAAAAATCACAACCAGGTGTGAGTAAGGACACCCTGGATATCAGCGCCATGTTACAGCGCTCCACTACCACAAAGATGGTGACCTCGTCTGACCGCAATGAGAGCTCGGACTGCTCTGAACTGCCTTTGGAGGAAATGAGGGAGCCCTCCCCAACTCGACCTGCACAGACAGCGAAGGTATGGCAAAATAACCAGATACCAGCTACCAAGCAAGACATTTAGGATTTATTATAAGATATGGGACAGCTACCTGAAACTGCTCAAAACTGCAATTAGCGCAGTTACTGCGTGCACACAGGCCTCAGAGGATAACACCCTGCATCTGAGGCAGCAGGTACAGGGCCTAAAGAAATCTATTAACCTGATGCAGTGCTCCTACGATACCCTAACAGCCAGGGTTGATCAGGCAGAGGACCATCACAGACGCACAAACATAAAGATTTGGGCATTCCAGACTACATAAACACCACGGAACTACCCCACTACCTCAGGTGCCTCACTGCATCCCTTATACCGCCTACCCACGCAAAGAAGCTTACATTCAACTGATTTTTTTAAATCCAAAAACCAAGGCAAGCACCACCTATTTCCTCCCAAGATGTCATAATAAGATGTCACTCCCTCACTGACAAAAATCGCATCATGGTTGCAGTCTGTGGAAAAACTCTGCTCACCTTTGAATCCTTTCAAAACAGCTTCTTCCAGGATCTAACTCGTAACACACTGCTATGGCGTTGATCAATGGCACCAGTCACCAGCCAACTGCGTGCCGCTGGCATTTTATACAGATGGACATTTCCGAGAACCCTGATGGTAACCAAGGACGACACCACGAGAAGAATATCCACAATATCGGAATCCAACACTTTCCTGCAAGCCCCTGGGATCCCTGCAAGAGCGCAGACACCCGTGACTCCTGCTTCCCATGCATGGGAACCAGAGAGAACAGCGCCCTTTATCTCCAGAAGACACGAGAGTTGAGGGGCCCCAACTTGAACTGCTCACTATGATTTACACCATTGTTATGTTTCATATAGTATAGGTCCTGTTTGCGACTTGCACATACACAACACAGCAGCCAACCGACAATACTAATTACCCCTCAGGAGGCTCTGTTACAGACGCAAGAAGGCCATAAAAATAATATGCCTTGCGTTAACTAAACAGGTTAGTCATATCTGCCATATCCAGAGTAATTGGCAAGAGTTGGGTTAAAGAGGTCAAAGGGTATACTGTTAAATACTTGCAGGACTTCTTATGGGCCAGGGTCCTGTAACATGAAATTCTGACTACTTTCCTCAAAAAACCTATTGATCAAACCATTAAACAATTCAACTGATGTTTACAGTAAACTAATACAAATGCAAAAAATATTCGAGATAATTGTATAAATGTAGGTTAGGTTACAGAAAGTTATGCTAGAGAATCTTTAGTTTGATTTTTTTTTTTCTCTTCCTCCCTCACAACCCACTGTAATCCATTTTTGCTCCACAAATACTGCTGCAAATGATGTCACTTTTTACATAAGAAAGCGGACAATTAACTCCACCGCAACAGATGCACTCAGAATGCTGGTATTGGGAAGATCAGCCTAATTCTTGATAACTAGAGAGACATCACAAAATAGCCATATGAAGGTCCTCCATGGTAAGTGATCAAGTGGCTAACAGTCCTTAGTAATAGCCCGAAATGGCTCCTACACTCTGTAGGACCGCTGCCAAAGCCAATCACAGTAGTCCTATGCCGTAATTGACAGTTGATGCCTGGCTGCAGAAGTACATGCCAGAATCAGCTGTCAATGGGCCACTAGGGAGGCAGTCCAGCAAAAGTAATTGTTTGACTATCAGGCTGTCTTGTCACTCGGGAAGCCAATCAGAATAGTCACTTGCCTTGGCTGTCACTTAAAGCAAGAAGATCGCTGTGATTGGCTCTCACTTTGATCATTCAACCAGTCTCCTAAAAAGTTGTTATGGTTACTTAAGTCCAGGGTTAGCCAGGGGTTGAGTAGGCCAGTGTTAATGTTATAAATAATATCAAAGTTGGACACTGCTTGGTATATATTAACTAAATAATGTAAAGAAACACTAAAGCGTTAGGAATACAAACCGGTGTTCCTAACTCTTTAGTGTCCCTGCTTGGTTATAGTTGTTCCTCTCCATTAATGACATAAAAATAATAAAATAAAGGGTTTTACTCACCTTTTTCCAGCGCCAAAGCTCCCTCGGTGTTGCTTACCTCTCCTCCTCTCGCAACATCACAGAGGATGTATGGCTCCTCCAGCGATGGTCCAATGTAATGCTTCTCCTCGTCGAGCATTGGAGGCTTTATGGGCATGCACGGCAAATACAGAGCAGGCATCCAAGATTCCCCTCACGAAAACCTTGAATCAATGCTCAGCGTCACGCGTTCGAGTTTACTCGGTTGTTGCAACGGAAGCGCCTCCAGTAGCTGTTAGTATGACACCCACTGGAGGTGTGTTTAAGCCTTCAAGATAAACACTGAGATGAAGCCATTGAGATGAAGTGGCCTTGGTGACTTAGGTGGTCCTTAAAAAACAAAAAATAAATAGATTGTTTCTATAATGTATCATGAACACAAGAGGCTTTTGTAACACTCGTACTCTCTTGAAGTAGTCACTTTAGTCAAGAGGTCACACATGTAGCAGGACACATTCAGCAATTCACCCCACTTAACTGGTCAACACCAACCTTTCAAGCTTCCTATGTGTTACCATAGTTTGACTAAAAAGATTCATTTATACACAGCAGTTATATAAATTAGCGGAGATAAAACAAAGTGAGATAACTAGGATACTAGAAAGTGTAGCAGGTTGAAGGACACTTCACAATATCATTGACCAACTACATGTCGACAAAAGCATATCGAGAGACTTTTCATCCTGTCACTACCTTCGTAAAGATTTTTTTTTTTTTACAAAGAACAATCCCATCTGCACAGATAATTTCTACTAACGAGGCTTAGGGAAAATGTGTGAAACATGAGAATCTCAAACAAGATAACCCTGGGGGGAGAAGGGAAAAAAATGGCAATTTATTTCTCATGAAGCTTAAGAATGGTTTTAATAAACAACCAAAGTGAATGATGTTTCAGTATTGATGTGGAATTCTACGAAGGCAAAATACTGGTATTATATGGTCAATGCCGAAATATACACACAAGATATAATGCATTTGTGACAGTTAAAATAAACAACTGTAAATACTGTGCCTGCACAATACACATTAAACCACTTGTCTAATATAAACAAACAAAAAATTACCCATGTAGAAACTGGAGTTTAAAGGGCAGATTGTAACGTGGTTCATATACCAAAGGAATTACCACGGGCAGGCTGGAAGCTCCCACAAGCATAGGAAAATTTTGGCACAGCCTTTTGTTGCAAAATGTATTGTACATGCAACAATCTTAGTTTATTTTAATACATATATCTTACTTTGATATTAATTCCTCTTAATGATGTTATATACAAAATACCTTACTGAATCCTTGTTATATATATATATATATATATATATATATATATATAAAAATATGTGGACATTGAAAGAAGATAATGGTTTTGTTATAACTTGAAGCATGATTGGTGATAGTTTAGGAGCTGGTATATAAATGGTGCAGTGTAAGGAAGGACTTCACATGCACTTGAAGAAGCCTTGAGAGGAGAGGCGAAACACGTCTGCATCATATGCTAAGGGAGTACCCAAGAGCATGAACTCATTGGATAAGGCGGTTGACAGACAAATTTGGAGGAATGTCAGAACGAGCAGAGACTGTGTATTCGCTTGAGGGAGCCGTGAATGCCTTTACTTCAAGTTGTTTTTAATTGAATTTTGAAATAAAAAGTTTGTGCAGTGGTAACCCGGGCTGATGGCAAGTCCTTCCACACTACTACAGATTTGGATCCAGTGCACACAAGGAACTCATTATGAGAGGTGTTCTATCCATTCTACTTTTTTGAGTGCAATTCCGATTTTAGCTTTATGTTATTTGTATATATTGTACAGTTTTATACAGGATTTTTAAAATTTCTAGGTTTTCATAGCAAGCATACTTACACATATTGTGTTTTGCACACCATTGATTTTTATCTGTTTATTTTATTTATTCTTTCACAGAATTTAACTCAGTGAAACGACGCTGGATGTCCTTTTCTTTCATAAGAACTTCCAGCGTCTTGAAAATCTCCGCTCATGCGCATTAGGTTCCCTCTATCGCTGATGTTGGAGGAGGTAGAGAGTGATCCAGTGCCAAGGGACTTCATAGCTGGAAACAGGTAAGTGAAAGAGTTTTAAACTTTTCATGGTCGAGGGGGGAAGAAGGGGGAGAGGCATGTAGACAGACGGACACTATAGTGTTAGGCATTTTTTTTTGTATACCTAAAACTATAGTATTCCTTTAAGCTAAAGTTGTTTTGGTGCTTAGAGTGTTCATTTAACAATGAATAACACATTCTTGTGAATGCAGTATTGAATGAACACATTCTAAATTGAGCATTTACCCATCTATAACATTATATGTTTGCGTGCATATTGGATGATATCTCAAGACATGGATGGAATAAACACTTGTACAACAATAACGGTCGTACAAATATGTCAGAGAAAGGCCAGGCGCAGCTGCACGGTACATGCAAGCAGCTTTCCATTAGTTTATTAATATTAATGTGTTTGTTGAGACCATAGCAGAAAGCCATAGAAAAAGCTATCACTTTGTTATGGTAGTGAAAGACCAAAAAGCAGAGCTGATATGTATGCAGGATTTAAATTTTTATTGAAAGTAAAAAAGGGTGCTCTTCAAGCTTATTAAGATGCATAGATACATAGATTATGGATCTGGATAAGAGGTGTTAGCGAAAGCATCAGAAGGGTGTTTGAGCACAGGCGGGCATTCCCTCCAATCACCATTGGAGTAACTAAATTAACTCCATTTGTTTAAATATACATAGGGATTTGGGAGAGAGCACAGGTAACTTTTTTTCTTTTGTTTTTACTGTATGTATTGTGGCTTTGTATTATGGTTATTGCTGCGGCCCAGGAGTGCTAGGAGTTTGAGCGCAGGACTTGTTTTTTTGTGTTTGAGCACATGCCTGCCAAATTATAAGGCAGCCCTTCTACACAGCTAATCTGGGCTTGTCCAAGCAACAACAGTGGCCAGAAATGTCCTAGAAGAGTCTTTTCAGAAAAGGCGATAGGACGCCAGAGAAGAAGTGAAAACAAAACCAAACAAATAGAATAAAAACAGAACTGTGTCGGGTACCAAATTGCGACTGTCATGCTGAATCTGGGAAATTCTGAAAAGCATGCTTCTCTATTATCACAGTTTATTTATTATGTCGTTCCGAATGAAAAAAAAAAATGAAAAAAAAACCTCAAAAACACAGACAAAGCAAACACAACACAAACGGAAAAACACAACATACACTAGTAGAGAGAGAAAAAACTAATTGCTTAGATAACAAGTAGTCATCCAAACAACTTTAGCTTAATGAAGCAGTTTTGGTGAATAAATCATGCCTCTGCAGTCTCATTGCTCAATTCTCTGTCATTTAGGAATAAATTACTTTATTTATGCAGCCCTGGTCACACCTCCCTGCATGTGACTTGCAAATCCTTCATAACACTTCCTGTAAAGATTCATCTAATGTTTACACTTTCTTTATTGCAAATCCTGTGTGTGATTAAAGTTCAAATAAAGAGCAGGAGATAAAAAGGTTTAAAGTAAGTTACATCTGATTGAAAGTGAAACCATTTTTTCCATGCAGGCTGTGGAGGAGGTGTGGCTAGGGCTACAGAAACAAAAGTGATTTAACTTCTTAATGGCAGAGAATTGAGCAGTCATACTTAATAGGTATGATCTATACACGGCTCTAGTAAGCTAAAGTTGTTTAAGTGACCATACTGTCCCTCTCCAAACCTTGCAGTAGCTATTTCATTATTTCACTGCACCTACTCTTCGTCCATAATAAAATTATGCTTTTATAAAATATATAAAAATTATATAAATTACTGCCTGGCATAACAGCTAGTTATTTTTATTTATTATAAGCATTTACACAGCGCCAACATATACCCCAATTCTTTACTAATATAGAAAGAGGATATAAGAAGGCAAAAAGGCCCTACTCAAACAAGCTTGCAATCTATGAGGATTCGAATCTGAGTTTCCTAGTTCTAAGATGTGGCGGCCACCCCGAGAGGAAGAGGGGTTTCGCCGCCAGAGATATTCTTTCCCCCTATTCAGAGTGATGCTACAATAATCCCAAGTACGATAATCCAAATCACGGTATAGCTGTTCCCTACAAACATGAGATGAGACTCTATGTTGAGGGTAAGCAGGAACTGATTTATTGGTAGCCACAACTGGCCTTATATGCAAGTCCCCATGCAAGGGATTTTCTCCTACATATTCCAGGAGCATTCCCCACCGGACCTGAGAGGGGACTATGAAAAAATACATACTGTAGTTACATTGGCTCTCGGGTCTAGGACACTCCTACACAAAACAGTGTAATCCCACTCCTGTGCCTGAGAGATAATTGAGTCAGGAACTGTACTAAACTCAATTATCTCCAGGCACAGAAAACATACATTTTACAATATCTTCCATTTACCCCCGAAACACATGGACACCCCACAAGTCACATCCCCTGACAGCCCCGATCTGGGGGACCAACATGCCCAAAAATCACCCAGATCAGTTTAGGGGTTCGGGATTTCCATGGAAGTTATAGTTTAACTGACCGCACACGAGGCTCCTGCCAAAAAGATTTCCATGAAATCAGGCTGTGCGGTGTCTTTCGGGAGTACCAAATAATGGTTCGTGGGTATATTCAGTACATGTCCCCCGATCAGGAGCTTGCTCCAACCGAACGTCATTTAATTCTCACCCGTTTTACCGAACTTTAAAAGAAGTTGAAGTTCTAGCTGTGTTCGCGACATCAAGTGTCCGATTTGAGTTTCATGCACTCGCCGACCAAACACGCTAAAGATGGCCACGTTTGTCCATACGAACGATGGCCACCCAGCTGACTGCTCAGAATGTTGAGGTAATTGCGGTTACCGAGGTGCAAACAAGGATGAAGAGGGTCAATGAGCAGCACACGACTTCCCTGAGTGGTCTGGCTGTTCGGTAATTTGTTCGGTATACAAACCAGATGGGTCTCAGATGTTTGGTGAATCCCATATACCGAACTACGCAGTGTAACAAATCAGCAGAAATTAACAGTATAATAATCCAGGGATAGGGGGATCTGTCACATAAGAGAGAATTTTATGTTAATATTTTAATTGAATGTATTTTAAATGCAAACCGGTGTAGTTCATACATTGCATCACTGCCCTGCAATGTGTATTTTTTCATATATTTTTTAGGACTCTTTTTTAATCCTTTAATAAGCAGGGCCTGATCAACTTATTCCAAACAATACAGTACTCAGCCCACTGGAATTCAGTTTAGCATACTGTGCACCACAGCTAATGTTTAAAGGAAATAAACTGTGGTTGTTTTGTTACTTAACCTTAAAATTGTATAGTAGTGTCATGTGGTTCAATGATGTAGCAATTATGTCTTGTGTTTTACTGTACGGTAATCCCTGCGTGTCGGGATGCATTGTATTTTCGAATGGACATTATTTGCAACAGGTGTAAATTGAAAACAAAATACCACATAACTCTAATTTTTTTAAAAATATAATTATTTTCACCTTTTACCATCAAGTATTCATAAAATCGTTTTGCTAAAAAATAGCTACCCAAATTAAAATAAAATAAAAAAAAAACCAGAAAAATAGAAGAAGAATTAGCAATAGATGGGAAGATGTTGTAGCCTTTCCTGGTTGCCATTAAGTGCTGGATGGGCATTGGGCAACAAGGAGGGCCTACGGGGTGCCTTCAACTGAACTACAAGTCTATGCAACCAAAGCTCACACGACTTGTGCCACAAAATGTCTTGTAATACGGAATTTAAAAAGTTAAAATATTTTATATTCCTAATTTTTACTGTTTAAATTAGAACCCAGAACATCACAAACGTGCCTAGGTGACTGTGTCATACCTCCAAAGTGTCCCTACATAGGAGGGACAATCATTATTTCGCTACCAACTCCAGCTGACTACTTTTTCTATCCTAATGTCCCTCTTTTGTAGGAACTCATTATTCTTGGAGAGTCTGAATTTATGTGAGAGCTCCGCAGCAATAACACTCACAGAAGACATGTGTCTAAACTGCAACAAAAGGTTTAAAGAAATTAGTCTGCGTAAATAAGATTATATTGTTTTTATTCTAAGTTACACTTTAGTTGTATAAATTGTTATTAGTAAGTCAAATAATACCTCTCTGTACACCCCCGCCCCCAGCTACAACTCCACACACACATACCTAAAATTAAAGTGTCACTATTTGTCCGTTTTGAATGTAAATGTTGAGTTATGCTTTGTAGTCTAATGTGAATAGATTGGAGGCAAAATAAAATGTTTGCATGGCTTCATGTATGAGAGGCAAGAATCTTATTATGATGAATGCAAGAAGAACGAGTTAGGAGAGGTGTTGGGAACATATCAGTGCTAGTTCAGGCATAGAACAGGCTGTGTTTCTGAAATAGGAAAGTCTGATTCTCTCGCTAAGATGCTCGCGTGTGTGAATGAATGCTTCGGGTTAAAGAGTATTCATAGCACGGAAAGTAAAGTTATGGAACTGAAATCCAGACAGGATTTATACACTCAAACAGCTTGAAACACAAAGTGAATACTGCACCAGTCAAAAGGTTTTGAGGATACCATACTAGGGGAAGAAGCTATATAGGAATTGGCTAGTTTCAAAGGTACGTGGAATGTCAAGGCATATAGGGATTGTACAGGAGCCACTATTCATGTTTCGATGAACGATCAAATATTCATCAGATGCTGGTCGGTTCTGAAAAAGGATGGGATCATCGGGCAGAGACACAATCATGAGACAGTATAAGGGGACACTCTAATCCTCTCTGACCTCTAGTATCTGCAAGGGAGGTTAGAAGTCATGCTGTGACATGTGACCAGGGAGTGTGCGAGAGTACAACACTGCTGTCTATAGAGGTGACAAGGCAGCTTTAACGTGTTTTGTGCAATGTCTTTAAACGATAGATCATGCTGTTATTAAAGCATGTACACATACCCTTACCAAGCGGAACTCAAATGTAAAGGGAGACTATAGTCTGGGTGCAGTGTCCTCTGTCCTTTTAACTATGCAATGCAAAACATTTAAACTACTGCGCAAAAACAGAGAATATAAGGACTATGAGAACGGGCAAAAGCTTAGAGAAACTCAGTAGCTTGCCCTTCGTTTAGTCCCCGCTCAGGTTAAAAAAATGTTTTTGCTCACTTGTGCCATTACAAAGAGAACCTATACCATAGGGGCAGTCCATAACCGATATGCCGTCAAGTTCTCTCTGCACAAGAGGTACAGCAGCCCTGGACGATCGTTTAGACCATTTTGGTCATGTGACACGGAAGCCCATAGGAAAGCACTGAATACAATGCATTTCTATTGGGAAGCTTGAATGTGTGTGTATCACTCTATGAGAAGCATTGGATAGAGCCATCACATATGAGGCCATGCCTCCTCCATGACGTCACTGTGGGACAGAGAGTGCTAAAAAAAGTAAGTAAATTATTTGTTTTATAACTTTTTATGACAAATGAGGGGACTGGGGAATAACCTTAACACAACTATGGACAGTTGCACTATAGCGTTTGGGACACAGGTTTGCACTAATAACGCTATAGTGTTTCTTTAACCTGTAACTATCCAAATGCCAAGAGGGAAGCATTTTTTTGTAAATAGCAACATGATATCAAAATTTCAAATACTGAATGAGAGAACTGTACAAGGTAGAGGAAGGAACTACACTGAAATTCAGAGTAAATTGTACTGGGTATGCATGGGGACTGCATGCTGAACGGAAGAATTTAACAGGAAAAGGGAATGGAGGAAGTTAAATACCAGTTTAGGTTAATGGTTTATTGTAAAGGGTGGTGCTTTGTGTGGCCGTGGCTCCAGAGGTGTGGCTGTATTATGTCTTTGGACAGGCAGCACGCACACGTCTTATTAGTTTACAGCACTGTGTAAAACTGGGATGTAAGGTACTTCTTTACCAAGCTTTTTGTTGTACAGTTCCATTCTGTGTAAATTCTATCCTGATTAATAGCTTCTCTCTGTGCTCTGAAAACCCACACATTCAGATATACTCCTGGCAATACTGGCTAAAGGAAAAGAAGACATTCTCAAAAGGCAACAAACTAAACAGGTTGTTGTGATCTTGTAGGGCCCAGGACTCTCAGCCTATCTTTTCCTAGAATGTCAGTGCATTTCAGATGGGCACTCAGTACATACTGTTTCTGTATGTCCTGATCTGGTCTGCAAACACTTGTTTGTTAGTACACCAGTTGTACAGCTCTGTGTTTTTTTTTTGGTGTATTAAAAATAATAATAATACTAATATTTCATCCACGGTGGAGAACCCTGTTTTGTTTTTTCTCCAACTGCTCTGAAAGAATTTAAAGGGACACTATAGTCACCACAACAACTACAGTTTAATGTAGTTGTTCTGGTGAGTATAATCATTGCCTTCAGGCATTTTCATGCAAACACTGCCTTTTCAAAGAAAAGGCAGTGTTTACATTGCCCTTAGGGATAACTCCAAGTGGCCTCTCCTCAAATGGCCACTGAAGGTGCTTCCTGTGACAGTGCTGCACAGTAGACAGCAGTGCCTTCAGCTTGTCCACGTTCTACACGGGGACACTGAATTTCCATCATAGAGTTGCATTGATTCAATGCATCTCTACGAAGAAGTGCTGATTGGCCGAATGGGAAAGCATTGGATTGGCTACAAATCAGCAGTTCGGATTATGTAATCAAGGAGGCGGATCTAGGGCGGAGCCAGCACCGGCAAACCCGTGCGGCACTTGAAAAAAGGTGAGTTTTAATTTCTTTTAAGGGGGCTGATGGGGGGGAGGGGGAGCCACCTAAATAGTGGGTTTAACACTATAGGGTCAGGAATACATGTTTGTGTTCCTGACCCTATAGTATTCCTTTAACATAAAACTAATAAGTGGCACACATGTACACCATATTCACGACAATGACCTGCAGTGGTTGTGGTGCTTAAAGTACCACTTTAAAATGAAGTTGTCGCAGGAGTAGATGAATGAGGGTATGTATCTTTACATATACGTTTACCAATGGCCACATCACAGCTTACAATGTTGGTGGCACATGCCGAAAATAAGCGCCTGAACTGTTTACAGTCACTAGAGACAAGTGGAAGGTGACTATTGTTTCCCCATGTCAAATGAGCACTATTGTGTCAGGAATACAAACATGCATTCCAAACACTATAGTGTTAAACTAGATGTTTAGGAGACCGGACCCCCTCTGTGGAGTTAGAGGGTGGGTTTACATACTTTTTCTCACTCGTTGCGTAAATCTTGCCATGGCTGAGATCATCAATCTAGAAGATCTCAGCCAATCTAATGCTCTCCCATAGAAAAGCATTGGGAGGCTATTGGCATGCGCGGCAAAGCACTGTGCAAATCAGCATCTGCTCATAGAGATACACTGAATCAATGCATCTCTATGGGGAGTGTTCAACCCTGTATAGCAATGAGATAGGAAGCACCGCTAGTGGCAGTAGTTATTGTACCTGTAGGTGTTGTTAGGTAGCAATGTAAACATTGCCTTTTCTGTGAAAAACAGATTTACATTGAAAAGCCTGCCAACGTAGTCTAGACATGAAAATGAATTAAAATGTTTTGTTCTACTATTTTTCAGACTATATTCAGTTTTATGTATACTGTGTGAATTTTCTCAATATGTTAGAAAAGATGCACAATTATAGACGCTGTTCAGCTGTTTAATATTTTTATCAAAAATACTCAGGAGTAGAGATGTATGCAGTAGTAGTCCTGGTGACTATAGTGTCCCTTTAAGTCTCAAGTGTTTGTAGTTTTTGTTTCTACAGGGAAATGTTGCTGTCTCTAAAGAAAAGCTGCAGAGCTCTTAGGTTCCGAATGGCTAGTGCAGAAACAGGCAAATGAGAATATATTGTAAAAATAAATTGTAAAATTACGAATGAAAAAGCTGCATTAAAACCGTATAAATGGTCTATATTTAATAAAGCAAAGTATTTTAAGCGGCCAACACCTACATTAACCACTGGCCTAAAACAATGTTTTGAATGAATCAGTTCAAATAACTTTTCTAATTTCTTAACCACTGCATTCTTCAACATTTACTCATACCATTTTTTTAAATTTATTTACAACTTTATTGAGTTTTGTTTTGTAGCAGACCATTATAGTTGGGATAGTAGGCAGAAAAAAAGAACACAAAGAAAGGTATGGTTACGTTACATTTGTTCGAATAATACAGAAACACTTATCTCGATATATGGCGAATAAAGTGTCCTAGAACAATTTAGCTCCTCTGTATCAATTTCCTCATTCTTTACATATTCTAAGTGTTACTCTGTAACCGAAATATTTTAGAATCTTACGTCTCTGATATTTAATGTTATCACAAAAAGGCTTACAAGAATTTTTTTTAACTTGCTTATCCATTTTATTTTATCTGGGGGGGGGGGGATCTAAAATCAAAAAAGGCAGGTGGGAGGGACGCTACACTTTTCTGGATATGATACAGACTTCTAGATTGTATCCCAGATTCCAAGTAACTCTCAACCTCATCTTCTGCTAAATACACCCAACTGTACCCAATAAAACACCAGTTCAAGAAATAAATATTAAATTAAATACATATTTCAGAATATGTATCACATTGTAGGGACTAGAAGGGAGATAGCATGTTGGTTATGAAATAGGTACAAATGCTTTAGACTAACTATTCTTCACAAATCTCCCTCAAGGCAATAAAAACTCGTCAGACCTGCTGTAGCAAGCTTGCATTACGCTTTGGAAGAGGGGGGAAAAAAAGAGAGAGAGAGAAAAAAAAATATGTCCCTCCACCGTGTCTCCAGCAACCAGCCCCAGTGATCTGCATAGTTTACCTCAAGCCATATGGGCGTTCCTTTTTATGGTGCAGTTCACTGTCAAAAAAAAAAAAAAAAATGCTTCAGCCAGCACTCACACACACACACACACAAACACACTGACAGTGGAAAATATTAGGAATCAGAACGCACAAAAATATAAATACGTAGAAAATATTAGTTCCTGGGTATGTTACTGTAATGCAAATCGATACCAGCTTCATGAATGAATGGCTGATTATAATTTTTTTCCCTTTTCTTTTTTTAATTTAAAATGTATTGGCATAGCAGATATTATAGAAAATAATATTAATCATTAGGTAAAATGCAGAGAGCTTATATCGACCGCCAGAGATAGGTATGCACATTTATATAGAGAACATATGGTTGATGAAACAATTTTAAGGTATAATATTACGTTGATTATTATCATATTTATATAGCACCAACAAATTCCAAATTTATATTGTACTTGTGGTTTCTTCTGTATTTTAACTAGCTTTCATGCAAAGTAAACATGCATAAAATTTAAATACATAGAGATATAAAAGGATAGTATGCATGCATACCAGTTCATCACAAAGTTTCCTAAAAATCTTGGAAGGGAGCCAAAGATGATCACAGATTCACAGATCAATGAATTAATCAACCAATCAGTCAATCCGCTGGATTAACCTCATCAACAAAAAATTTGATCTTTGGTATATGAATGCAAGCAAAGCTGCCAATATATTACCACTGGAAAAGGTAGCACACATAGCAGAGAGTTTATTTAAGGGACACTCTAAGCACCCAAATCACATTATCTTAATAAAGGGAATTGGCCATAGACGTTGCCCCAAATGGCAATATTTATATTTCCATATTCCCAAGCCCATGGCGGCAGTAACTACGGGCCTGAAACCTATTGAATCTATTTCACATCCAGAGACAGCATGCAAAGTATGTCGACACCAGACACTAGCTGTGCATCCAATGTTTCTCTATAAGAAGCAATGAATTCATAAAGAAGCATTGGATTGGCTAATTACGGTGATTAAGATGCATGCGCCATATGTCTGCAATGATTCTTTAAGAGAAGCATTTGAGCCATTAATCTTAATGACTTCAGCAAGAGTGGATTGGGCTGCAGTGAGGAGTCTATCCATTGAATCAATGTAAATTTAAAGACGATAATATATATTTTTTTAAATAGGGGGCTCATTAAAGTTTATATATTAACGTATATATTACAATGTTTTTTTAAAGTTAAATATAAAGATTATTCTGTGCGTGCCAATGATGCAATGAACAAAACAGGGTTTAATGAGAATAAATGTGGCAAAGTGCTAAATATGAAACAATGAGGTGCATTTAATTAGTTGCCATGGTAATTGCTCTGTTTCTAGAACTCCTCCCTGGAATTTCTTTAAATGCCATCCTTCTGAAGCTATATCCTGCAGGCCCAACCAGGTCCTGATGGACCTCTGCTGTTAGTATGCACATTTCTATATGTAACTGCACAAACTGGCAGAAAGGCAAAATAGGCAGCAACATCATCTGACTGCGGCTTGGTACGCGATCCTGCCTAAATGGTCCCTGTTGGCTAGAATATACTACATACATCTCTACTCCTGAGTATTTTTGATAAAAATATTAAACAGCTGATTATTGCGTCTATAATTGTGCATCTTTTCTAACATATTGAGAAAATTCACACAGTATACATAAAACTGAATATAGTCTGAAAAATAGTAGAACAAAACATTTTAATTCATTTTCATTTTTACATCAATTTCTCTTTAATATTGCTTGTTATCCAAGATGAGAAGGTTAACTTCACATGAGTAATAACAGAGAATTCATGCATGCATACTGATGCATAGCTCAAATGCTCTGCATTTATTTATATTACAATCCAATTCTCTGCACTCATGTATGATACAATTATGCTCTCACACATTGACGAGCTTTAGGGGAGCAGTGGAGGAGTGCATGCATGTGCCCGTAGTCACTTCAGCCACTACCATTTTCCCCTGAAAATAAGACCAGGTCTTATATTAATTCCCCCCCTCCGAAAAACGCACTAGGGCTTATTTTCGGTGGATGTCTTAATTTTCGGGGAGGAACAGTGGCAAGCATGTGCAAGAAAGCAGGTCAACATTCGGTGGAGTTGCCCCGAACATAGAACAGTTCACTAGGGCTTAAAATCCCACGAATCTATGTTCTGGAAAACTTCCCCAAACATAGATTAACTTACTAGTGCATGGAAACCCACAAATCTAGATTAGCGAATTAGCGACAATCTCAACTATGGCTTATTTTCATTGGATGTCTTATTTGGGGAGAGGGGGGGGGGGAGTTGTAAGCCCTATCATATGCCATCACATCACACATGCACACCAGGTGCTCTTAAAGAGACTATGCTTGATTAGTACCTACATAGAGAAGCTAAGAAACTTTGAAATGAAGAAAGAAAAAAAGAATTGCTGAGTTTGTGTGACTTTAGATAAATCTACAGAATAAAAAACGGTTCAGGCACTGAAAAATAGCAGCTTTATTGGGGCCAAAGCAGCAAAGTTTCGACCCTACCTAACTTTCTAAAGCAACGTTTCGACCCTAGCTAACTTTATAAAGTACATCTCTACTTTAGATAAATCTACAGCATTACAATGTATAATATATATATAATGTATATTTTGACATTGAAGGATCACTATACGGTCAGGAACACAAACATGTATTCCTGACCCTATAGTGCTAAACCACCATTTAGGTGGCTTGCCCCCCCCCCCTAGTCTCCCTATAAAAGTATAAAACTCACCTCATTCCAGTGCCGCGCAGGTGACATCATCGAAATGGCATTAGGGAAAGTATTGGCTTGGAGGAAATCGGCACGGGGCGGGGCCAAATACTATATTGGCCAATCAGGATCACCTCATTGAGATGCACTGAATCAATGCATCTCTATGAGGAAAATCCAGTGTCCCCATGCAGAGTGTGGGGACGCTGAACGGCAGGGCTTCTTACTGTGCAGCCCTGAGCCAGGAAGCCCCTCCAGTGGCCATCTAAGGAGTGGCCACTTGGAGGTGTCCCTAGGGGCAATGTAAACACTGCATTTTCTCTGAAAAGGCAGTATTTACATGAAATTCCCTGAAGGGAGTTATTATACTCACTACAACAATTACATTAAGCTGTAGTTGTTCTGGTGACTATAGTGTCCCTTTAAACTAAACATAGACAGGAAAGTTTGTTACTTTATGTTTTGTGGTTTTGGTGCTTTAGGATAGAGCATTACCTATATAATTCAAATACAAATTTCCATATATTTATTTCTAAGGTTCAAGATTTTACATGATCACAGAACTGACCTGGTCAAAAAGTCATTATTAGAAAGTATCCTAAATATTAGTTGGTGTCCTACCTACAGAAACGCCAAATGGGTTCTATGGTTTAAAATAGATTTATAGAGTAATTGCATGCATCTTTTACATTCTCATTTATTTGGCCCTTGCAGTCACAAATGCAGCAAAGCATCTGGATTAAGGAATTGCAACATGAACACAGTACAATGCATTATTCTCTGGGTTCCACATTTTGCCTGCTACAATGAGGACAATATTTATCAATCTGCCATGATCTGGAAGAAAGACGTATTAATACATTTTATAATGTAAAAAGAGGTATCTAAAATAACTGATATTCAATATGAATGTTGAAAATAGCTACTGCAATAAGTATGTCTACTATTATTGACCTATTAAATTAACGGGGTAGTTAAATACGACTGTCTCAGTTTGCACCTCACTGTTTTAGGGAATATAGGGCCATCTGGTATTGAATGGGTTATGTATGGGCAAGTTAGAAATGCAGTACACTAGACTTAATGTAGGAAATGCAATCAGGCCGTCTATATTTAAATGGACCTTGCTCCTTTTTAGCTGCTGATCTTTGGACTCTGTAACATGTAACTAGACGGCTTTCTATGCTATGATTCCTTTTTTTTGCCAAGAACTGTTGCAATGAGAGCCATCTCTTCTTGTGTCCGGCATACAGAAAACAGTGCTCAGAGACGAGAGAAATCACTGCAACCATTATTTATTTACCACTTGCGATGAACAGGCTTATGCACAGCAGGCCCATGGTATGAGCGTGGCTCTACAAAAGCCCATCCCTCGATTAATGCACTGTTACATACAAAATAATATATACATTCATACACGGATCTCCTGATAAACTGATTATCAATGCAAAAAACACACATTAGGTATAATGTAGAATACAGAACTCATAACTTTGCCAATGAATAATAATGGAGTTTGTAAGTAATTAAAAACATTACTGTGAGCCACATATACACGTATCTTGGCGTACAGATCAAAAGAGAACACACATGCACACATACTCATATTGATCTCCACCAATCAGGATGACATTCTGACACAGCTGTGAGTGATATATATTGTGAGAGTTGGCAAGACAGACTTCACGAGTCCCCTTATCTATCGCCCAGTACACTTAATGGCGGCAGCACCAGAACCGCACTGCATGCATAGGTTATACCTATTCCCTATGTATGCTATGTATGCTATTTGAGAGCAATAGATTAAATAGAGCCCTCTCTTGGGGTACATGACCGTCTAACTGCACCAGTAGGTTCCTCCTATTGTATGATGTAATCAAGAATCCATGGAATGTATATAAGTATAAGTGTAGTCTGGCCACCCTAAAGACTGTTAGCCGCCTTTATGACTCAGAGCCCTAGTAGTCTTTTTCTGCTACTTTATGAAGAGTATGCCAGTTTATTTGTCTTAGCTGCTCCATTCCCTGTACCACTAGACCACTTGTAGTACATTATCTCTTGCAGTGCTCAGGAGCAGTCTGCAATCAGCATCTACTGCAATCCTGATAACAATGTTAATTAGCATTTGTCTGGCTTCTAAATGTTGGCTTTGGCACCTGGATTCAGACATCAATTTATGCATAAATGTATCGTGATATATTAGTTAACAATGCAATAGTGATGTCGGTGTTGGGTGGTCGTTTATGAGAATGAATGAGATGCACCAGACCGTGAATAACAAAAATATATATTTTTTTAATTAACAATAGGAAAGCTAATATAAAATGGACAAGTCTATGTATAATACAGCTCACAAATATATAGAGGCAACATACACAAATGTAAGGCGAGCTCCAAGTCATGACAGAAAACTATAAAACATGAAAAAATATTCAATACAAAAAAAATAAATGAAAATCATGCACTTAGTGCATATGTAATGAAAGACCTGGTGGTCTTCTCAACCAAATATTCCTTCAGATTCAATCGCTGATAGCAATTTCCGCAAGTGATTTAATAAACTGAAAATTAGACTGAAATAAAAATAATGCATTGCTTCACAAGATGAATAAAAAATTGACGTGTTTAAGGCAAGAGAGACAATGCCATCTTAGATGCAGAGAACCTTGGCATAAGCATCTATTGTTTTTTTTGCTCATTCTAACAAAATGTGCATACATAAAGAAGGTGGAAAAAAAGGTCTGCTTGTTTTTTGGGGGCATTTTACACTTATCACCTGTCTGCTTTCTGGCATTCCTTTAGTGTGGTAAGAATAATTAGTGAACAACCAATTTGTATACAGTTTTGCACTATTATGCAATCTCAGCAATTCCCCTTGGAATGAGTGAGGCTTGCTCGCACACTCGGTCATGTGAATGGGCAGCTGCATGAAAATAAGCATGTGTGTGTGTTAGTTCACATGTTTGCAAGCTTGCTTAGACATTTCCCACTGAAATTAATGTGAAGATGACTATGGTGTACTAATTATTTCCTGGTTAGTTAATGAATAATCACAACTTTAGAGGTGTTGGGCATGCAAGAATCTGTTGCATTCAGGGTCTTTTGGGGTCTCTTTCAGATGGGAGTGTTTGTGGTATTTTCCAAATTGCCGTGTGACTTTAAAGACAAGTAAGTTCTATTAAATAAATATTTACCAACACCATATATATATATATATATATATATATATATATATATATACACACACACACACACACCATTGAGCCCTTGCTGTAGCAGAACAGAATATCTATTAAAGGGTGAACGCAAACACCATGACCACTTCAGTGATTTGAAGTGCTTATGGTGCCTGTGGTCTGTATGTGTAGCAATTCACTATGAAATGCTGCACATACGGAGTTTACCTCATTAACTGCTGGAGGTGTAACATCGCTGAGTTGTCATCAGCCAGCCCGGAACACTAGAATACTGTCAATTCTGTGCAACTTTAATTGCAGAGAATGTCAGCTATTGGCTGAACGTGGTCAGCTGATGCTCTTAACTAATGAATGGCAACGATAGTGGCTCCTGCAGCTCTGCAGAAGCCAGAGGTGCTTCCCCAAACCACAAGGAAGCCTCGGAGCTCGGCAGTGGTCTAGGTATGGGGCAAATCAGTGTTTAACGGTTTGCCCTATTACCAGGGAATTGGGCCAGGGTACTCCTGGCATAACCATGGTGATTGGAGTAACTCTTTAATAATAATTTATCACTAGTGGTGTGTTGTCCAATAGTTAATTATAATTGAAAGCAATGACTGCATGTTTAAATAGTAATGGCTGAATGGTTGTAATGTGGACTAGGCATTGCTGAGCAGAGATGTGATGCCAAAATGGATTCCACGCCTCAACATCGATCACTAGCCCCTTTCTCCAGTGATGAGATTGCCCAATAGCAGCCTAGTGTTCACTACTTGTTTTGGTTTAATACTGATTAGATAAGATTACTTTTATCGGACAGCTTCCATTCCTCAAAGCTTTCTAGAGATTCACTGATAATCTAGCGCTGGGAAGAAGTCTGGCAATATGAGTTTATCTTAACAGTCTGAATCAACTTTCTCCACTACAAAACTCATGCAATGTTTACAATGTTTAATACTTTCCGCCCCTATAAATGGACTTAAACAGCCCAATTAAAAAACAAGATAGCATCAAATTTAGCTTTGTGCTAACTCTATCAGAATTGTGTGCATTTGTGAACAGATTTTTGAAAATGTAAATAACCTTTTTTAATTTTTTTACATAATTGCACAAAGCAAAGAGAATCGTGATGAGTAACTCTATTTTGCTAATAAAGCAAGAATGATCAAAACACACCAGGAAGCCTTTTACAAGACTTGATTTTTTTCGTGTGTGTGTGTGTGTATTTGTGGTACATGCACTCCTACAGAGTCCATCTAACAGGGCACAAACAAAGGACAGAGCTCAAACTACCAATAAAAAGTTCAGTGATACTAAGTTTAAAGGAAAGACCGGTAAATGTACAAAAATCAGAAGCACGGAAAAAGCTCAGCGCGGTAACAGACACAAAAGAGAGCAAAGTGGCAGCACTCTCACAGTCGTGTTACAATACACGGAACAAAGTAATAAGAACCGTTACTATTTCATATGAAGCATTTAGGGACTGTTCAATAAAGAGCAAGTTTAGATGAGTGTCTACAAACCAAAACAATAGTGAAATTGGGAAAGATATCCAACTAAGCCTCAGAAGAAATTTTAGTTTTTCAGTTACGTTATTTGGGCCAAAATCTTTCATGTTATTTGTTAAACCACCACAACCCATGCACTAGATCCCACAGCTCCAATCCAGTTCTCAAAGCATCTTACAGACAGAAATATCTAATAAAAAAGCAATAACGGGTGTCTTAGAGGAATGGACGGAAAACCATTGATCTGGAGGTATCAGCCAGTTACTTGAGTGGTTAAAATGTGCGACTGAAACAAATCTGTAACCTGCATTTGGTCCAAGAGCTCATCTATGACTGTCTCATAAGACAGGCTCTTTGCTACATTCTGTCAATTCCACTGTTCTCTGTCAAGCAGCTGCAGCAAGAGTACAAAATGGTGGACTACGGAAGTTCCCCCAAAACAGCGCATGTCAATAGGGTCTCCCACAAATGATCCTTCCAGTCCATATGCAGCTATGTCAAAAGTATATATTGCATCGTCAGAAGATGTCTATAATGGCAGCTGTTATTATCCTAGTTAGCTGACAGCTGATTGTGGCATTCCCCTGCCTTGTTGTTTTTTCACTAGCCATATGTATAACCTCTGAATACGTTGAAATATCAGTAAAATTCCAGAATTACATATCTTCATTTTTTTTTTACAAAGATTCTATCATGATGAAAAACTTGGAAAATGAAATGTCCCCTTTAGGCACAAAAGTGTTTATTTATTTGATATAATAATCTACCTCGCACAGCTGCATAATGCATTGACACTCTTCTTGCTTTAGTTAAAAGTTAGTTGTTTACTGTAAAAAAAAAAAGGCTTAGTAATAATGATGTTTGTAATATTCATTTTGCTGAATATAAATTATAGGAAAAAAAATCTGCATTGTTCATAAAACCTACAGTGTTGCTGATACACCAGTAATGAGCATTAAAGTTTTACAGAAATGAATGGGGATTCATAAAAACTTCTGAAATCTTTAGCCTTTTAAAAATCTATTTACAACTTCCTTCTCCGTCCAGTATTTAAGGTACAGTTTGACTTATGAGGAAATTATATCTACGTGACGATATTAATTATAGCTTAAAATAATTTTTAAACTAAGCGAAAGCAAACTAGGATTTTCTTCGAAAGCAGAACAAACATTTATTTTGTGAAAATGTAATCAAATCAACCAATTACAAGTTTATTTTTAAAAATATACATTGCAAGTCTGTAAAACTAAAAATTCATAAATTTACCCCTTGCTAAATTTATACAGCACTGCATAATTAGAATTTTCTTTCTTGACTATTTCGGATTTAGGGCAAAATGCTGCAAATAGGGCCTTTGCAAGATTTTAAGACCACGACAGGGATACTTGCTGCTTTTGTATTAATATGCGTTTTATTGCCTGTTTTTGACCAGTTATACAGAAATACTGAGTATTTTGGCGCTTTAAAAATATTAACTAAAATGAAAATTGTAAAAAAAACTAAACAAAGACCCACAACTACTAGTAGCCAAGGTGTCGATATGCTATCTCTCTAACCCACAAAGAAACAGTGCAAGGGTTATAGAGATACCATAGACCTGTTGTTGTGGTTTCTCAGTAGACAAATTGTCTAGTGAATATTATAGCTATGATTCAAAAAGATCCTCAAAAATAGCAAAGAGAAAATTTTTGACAATGCCACTTGTATTTACAAACTCAGATATAATGTAAGCTGTCCAGCTATCAAGTCAAAGAGGCAAAGCAATATATGTATTTTCATTGAATTATAGGCCAGAATTAGGCCAAAACGTACACAACATTTTCTGTCTGTCATTCTTGACTGCTGTACACAGAGATTTTCCGTAGAACAGAGGAAGGTAAACAAAAAAACAACAGCTGTTTTAAAACTACAACCCACATCGTGATTTGCCAGCAAGACTGACAAAGCCTCTTATCATAGCACAAATTACATTTATTTTTGAGCAAACACTTAATAAAGTACTGTGGTTTTTCATAAAAACAACAGAAGACATGCATCCCTGATTGTGCAATACGATGTAAATATGAAACAGCCAAATATCCTAATTTCAGCAATACCAAAGCGTAATTGTATTATTTAAAAGTACAAAAAATATCTATAATAATCTTTTAATGGATGCAACTGACCACCATATTTTGAATGGTTCTAAGTAAAGAAAGCTTTATTGGCTAAATGGAAAATAAAATGGGAAATATATATATATATACACACACAAGACTTTTAAGATGATGCTAAAAGCATTATATCAGGGATGACTTCAAGGCGGTTGTGTAGAACTACTGGCAAAGCATCATGGGAATAGTTCTACAATAGCTTGGGCTAATTTGGGCCATAGTTGCAATAGACACATGTGAGCAAAGTTTCTTCTGTTCTTTAGTACCGCAAACCAAGTGAAAGGATGACACTACATAATTTACTTAATAAACGCTTAATTGCGCTGAATAGACAAGGTAATCGCACGATTTCGGCCACAACAGTCAATTAACAGAAGTAGATCATTTGGAGATCCCTTTCTACCCCCACCTCTTATTCCCCATTGTTGATTTATTTTATGTTGCAATTTTCTTGTAAATTTACCACAATGGCCAGCTGATTGAATGCTTATTATGTCTGTTTACATATATATTTTTATATATACACAAGCTGCCATACAAACCCTGAATTTCACACAGATGACTGGGTGTGGGCCTGACCTATAACCCTTGGCTTTAACCCCACAGGAAGATTTGGGTAGATTTATAGGACTACACAATCAATTTTCTCTCAACAATATCACAAATGTGAACCTGTCTGTTTGTGTCTGAGATACTGCCATACTGAGGTGGAATCCTGCTGAAACATCCATTCTAAAGTGAGCCTGCACACTTGCAATTGTTTCCAGAATCTTTACTTGTAGACAAAAGGTCCAGGCAAACTGAGTTTGGCCATCTGTCTGCAACTGCAGATACCCACTGTTTGCCTGCTACAGTCTGAAAAGAACACACAGCACTGCCAGCACTGGCCATTACACCATTTACAAGCCAGGGCTACTGTGTTCACTGCTAACAAGAATAATGTTAAAATGCAGCAAGTGCAACACTGAACCCTGACAATGCCAGACAGCTCAAATCATGCAATTCAGAAATGAAATCCTCGCCCCCATCCCCTGGCATCAACACATATACCCACCCACTTAACTTACTTGTAGACACAGAGATACAGCAATAGCAAAACGACAAAAAAAAGTTTTTACTTCCATTTTAGCCACAAGACAGAAATAACACTTTTAAATTTTTTGAAATTTTAATCACCCAATAAATGACATTAAAGATGTTAAACATGAGCAACTGTAGACAGGAGATTAGAAAGATCGTGGTCTTCAAACTTCAAGAAAAGTGCCCAAACTACTGGATCTGTTACAAAATATCCTGGACCTAGCAGTGAAGTTGTGTCATGGAGCCTTTCTTAGGTTGTAATCTGATTGTATTTTCCAGCTACTCTCCAAGTGACAACTGCTTCACGATCACGTTTTCTAGAAGCAGGTAGCGCCTGCAGTGGCTGTAACGCAGCATGTTCACATGACATAATAAAGCTCAAAGCTACATGGCAAGCTGAAGTTAATACACAGGGGTGGGCAGAGATAACATAACTAGACAGGAGGGTGAGGAAGCAGTAATGGAACAAAAATAAATAAAACTGACAACATCGCTCGCAGAAAAGAAAGCAACGATCTCTTCTTAACCAGTGAGGCCAACCTAACACTTCTTAAAACTACTTTCACGCTATGTAGCGATGAATCCAAGTGATGGAACTTTACAGTGATACAGTATCTATAACCATTAAAGACATGCCAACGCTGGAGGACAGACATACACAACGTTCTGAGCTCCCCACTGCCATGGAACACAGGACATGCAGCTCATATACAATAAAACAAGAGTTAGTGGCAATAGGAAAATAAGGAAAAATCCCACAGGAACTTACCACATGCAGTTTCACCTGAGGTTTAAAACATCAGGATCGACCCCTGTTCCCCTAATCTAGCACCAGCTCCATATGTTGATCTGTCTGCACGATTAAGCCAGTGCTTTTTCCTGGCTCGAAACGAGAAGCATTATACAATGGGAGAGGAGGAGGTGGGGAGGGAGAGGAGTAAAAGCCACTGGCTGTGAGTCTGCCTGCTCTCCCCAGCACTTGCCATGAAATAATATGACGTGAAGAAAAGCTCTTGCAAGCTCCTTGCCCTGTATCTCACGTCAGGGCCCCTCCTCTGTCCCTACAGAACTCCCCTTCACTCCTCCTCCCTTTCTAGCTCTCTGTCTCTTCCTCCCTCCTTCTGTATTCTCCCTTCCCCCCTCCCCTGTCCTCCTCCTCCCAGATTCTGCTCTGATCTGCAGCTCTAGAGTAAAGCTACAAAGTACAGACAGCAGCAAGCAGCACAGCACAGCACATGCCCCACTTGGAGGGGCTGGCCAATGGCAGGGAGGCATCTCACATATCAGTTACATGTGTCTTTGTCCCAAGAGATCAAGCTATGTTAATGCAAATCTGCTTGCTGCAAGGCTGTGTGCATTGGCAAGTAATCTGGATCCAGGGATCACTGCTGACCTGTCAAATCTCACTCTCTGATCTGGTGCAATATTTCAAATGGGAGGGGTACTGGTGTGTAGTGGTTTTAAACACAATAACATAATAATAATTAAAAAAAACAAACACACACACACACACACACATTTGTGGAGTAGTTTACCAACATATCATCACACTAAGTTATGGTAACAATCATGTGATGCATTGCAAGAATGCACAGTGCTATCTTTATTGCATTTTCTTCAAGCTGCTACTGTTACTCTTGAAATTGTGTCCTCGGTGTGCCTGATCGCTACCCATGAGCATATCTATTGCATGATTTGTTTGTGTACAAACAGTAATTTTATAGAACACGACAAACAGACTAGTCTGCGTTGATTGCTGCAGTTCTAGAGCTGTGATAAGGTGTATATGGGCAATCGAGGCTGTGTGTTGGCCAAGGGTTCAGTTCAAGTTCAGTGTCCCTAAATGATTTGAGGGTAGCCCAAACTGTGATGTGACCTCACACAACCCAGTCTGCTGCTACTTGTGGGCTAGCTTCATTCACAGGCTCCTCTGGCTCAACCAGAGGTTATCAAATCCAGACACTGATTCTTTTAAACGTAAACAAATATACAGCTCTTGTAAAATTAGTGATTGTGTTGTCATGCAGTGACCATCTTATTCTCTTAATGTATTCTTTAGAAATATACATATATTGCCATTTAAAGAGAAAAAGTCAAGTATCTAACAACTGCAACCTTTCCATATATTCTATAGGAAATAAATTAATTTATTCAAAATTCACATAAAATCATGCATTAAAGCCCATAAATAAGTAGTGTATGCATTATTATTATATATAGTGTGCGTATCTAATCTGTTACTCTGACATAGAAAGCTTTCAGAGCTTCCATTGATAAACATAGAAATAGTGACAGGGAATGGTATTTATTAAGTAGATTAAGCATAGAAATCCTATTCCTGCCATAGATGTTGCTACTTTTTGCAGCCAGTCGCCACTTGCTAATGCACCTGTTGTTACTTTAAGGAGGTAGAGGCAGCTTCACGAGTAGTGACAGGGATTTATTAACAATCACGACTAAAAGGCCAGTGGCTAACTTTCCCAACCCTGTCCTTACTTTTACCAGACTCCATACTAACAAACTGATAACATGTATGTTGTAATCATGCTGTTCGTAAAGTAACAAAGGCTAATTTTCAGTTTCTCTTTGGTCTAAAATATCTGATATCATCACTACATTTAAGGCTTTAAACCAGCAAATTTATTACGTTGGAGCTAATTTTTACACTTTTTTTCAATACCCATAGCTAGATTCATACATCTCATGGATCCGTTAAAAGAAATACAAGCATGAATATTTAATATATTAAACTGTAAATATTAGCTCTTTCTGGTTAATTGCAAACTTTCTGCTGATTTATATTACACAGGCAAGTTTATTTACCAAAGTGTAAATTGTCAGAAATTTTAAATCAATTCAAAAAGCATTTTGTTTTGTAGACCAAACTTTCAGTTTCAACTCTTGTAGCCTAAAAAGTCAAATTCATTTTTTAATTACTTTAAAGGATCTACATCCTGATCACCAAAACTACCTATTACTTTTAAGGGCTAAACCATTTTTCAAATGGTTTAACACTCGCCTGTTCTCAAACGCACTACTTGAATAGTAGTGAATGATGGGGCCACAAGCTGATTCTCTCAGCCTATTAGTTGCGGTCAATTGCGATTAATGTTTCAAAAAAGTTCCGTATTTGAGCGTTCGCAGAGTACAGGAAGCTCGGCTGGCGCATGAGGAACATTACTTTAGTGTTAACCTGAAAATGGTTTAAGAAGGCACCACTGAACTCTGAACACCATAACCACTTAATTCATATGAAGGATTTTGTTGCCTGGACTGGTCCTTAAAATTCCCAACACTTTACGTACCACCACATGTGGTGGAGTTGCCCCCTAGGGGCCACATTTTGGAAGGAGTTGGAGAGGCTGGCTTCCCAGATCCTACAAAACATGTTTGTCTTGACCCATGGGTGTCCCTGCTATCTAGACCAATAGACGGCTGGGCAGGACGAGAGATGGCTCTATTACGCAGCATTACATCAGCGGCCTGTAGAGCCTTAATGCAGATTTGGCTGCAGCCCACGACCCCAACCATGGCCACGGTACTCAATAAACTTAAGGATAACTAGCTCATGGAAAAACTAACAGCTCATGTCAGGGGGACACTGAAGAAGTTTACTTGAATCTGGAAGCCATGGGAAGCTTACTCAGTGACGCTGTATGGGACTTAGGGAACTCAGCGCTCCACCTGGATTCCGTCTTAGGCGCCCAGAGGGTACCACATGGCTGCCCTCTGCCCTTCTGCCCCGCTGACCTGTTTGCTATCTATTCCGATTACGACCCGAAACTCCCCTTCATCTTGTAACTTTCCCTGAACCTCCTCTATCTTCCTTCCTACTATTCTCCTGTCATCTCTCCTCATTCCTCTTCCCATTCTCCATGGGATTAAAACTACTCATCGTTCACTCAACTCGCATTGAAACACATATACAAGAAACAACAAAAGGACAAACCCTTATAAGGCGGGTACAAAAATCTAACTTAGAGTCACATACAATCTTAGCACAAATATAGCTGAGACCTACAAAACGGTTGCCACCTATTTTGCGACTTCCAAAGCCTTATGTAAGACTGTTATGTTAATGCAATGTTACTTGGATTCAAAGCTCAAAAGATATCGCAATGTTCTGTGTGCGACTATTGTCACATAAGTGAATGTGAACTATATGACTGTATTTGCTAACCTCGCTAAAACTAGCAAAAATAAAGAATTTTTATTTTTTTAAAGAAAAATACCAAACACTTTACATTGAGTAATTAACCATGAAGGATATTTTGCAGTGGAGTACAGTGATCAGCCCAAACTAAGAAATCCTCACTACAAGGTCCCTACATCTAAACATTTACATTCTATTCAAGAAATACTTTTTCTACCTGTGGTACCCATTTCCCTGTTGAAGAAGTGAGAGTGATTGGTGGTAGGTTCTCATACTTTTACAATTTAAGGGCTAAGTACAAGAAGAGCACTTGCAATAATTTATTGCCACTGAAAGTCACTAACCTTTAAATCAGTATTTATTTTAGTACAAGCTGTAACGATCTGAGTATGGATCAGATATGTGTGCACCTGTGCTACAGCTGTTTAGCTAAGTGATGTGGGTGCAATGTAAAATATTAAATATACAAACTACTTATACAATGTACCTCTTCATTGTAATGCCTCTTCTCTCTGCACCCTGTTTAAGTGAGGATAAGCGTAGTGTTTTATTCTAGATTTAGAGTGTACCAAAGACAACACACAGGGGAACCAGGCATTTCAATCTGTATAACCGTACCTGGTCAGATCTGAATTGCTATGGCGTCTCTCATACAGGTGATACTCAAAAAATTAGAATATCGTGGCCAATAAGAGCCTTGAGACGGGATGTAATGTATACGGCCACATCTGACCTGTAAAACCCTGAATGTTACCCTTTTTTCCTTCTGTACCCCATACACTTTATTATCTCAATAAAAACTGATTGGTAAAAAAAAAAAAAGTTAATTTATTTCAGTAATGCAACGTAATAGGGGAAACTAATATACAGTCAGGTCCATAAATATTCCCTTGAAAAGTGGGAGGCACATATACAAACTGTTGTAATTCCTACACCGTTCACCTGATTTGGATGTAAATACCCTCAAATTAAAGCTGAAAGTCTGCAGTTAAAGCACATCTTGTTCATTTCATTTCAAATCCATTGTGGTGGTGTATAGAGCCAAAAAGATTAGAATTGTGTTGATGTCCCAATATTTATGGACCTGACTGTATGAGATAGACGCATTACATGCAAAGCAAGATAGTTCAAGCCGTGATTTGTCATAAGTGCGATGATTATGTCTTACAGCTCATGAAAACCCCAAATCCACTATCTCAGTAAATTAGAATATATTGAAAAGGTGTAATATTCTAGGCTCACAGTGTCCCACTCCAATCAGCTAAGTAAGCCATAACCCAGCCTTTAAATGGTCTCTCAGTCTGGTTCAGTAGGAATCACACTCATGGGGAAGACTGCTGACCTGACAGTTGTGCAGAAAACCATCATTGACACACTCCATGAGGAGGGAAAGCCTCAAAAAGTAATTGCAAATGAAGTTAGATGTTCCCAAAGTGCTGTATCAAAACACATTAATAGAAAGTTATGTGGAAGGGAAAAGTGTGGAAGAAAAAGGTGCACAAGCAGCAAGGATGACCACAGCCTGGAGAGGATTGTCAGGAAAAGGCCATTCAAAGGTGTTGGGGACTTTCACAAGGACAAGAGCCACCACACACAGACGAAACATGGGCTTCAGATATCATATTCCTCTTGTCAAGCCGCTCCTGAACAACAAACAACATCAGAAGCGTCTTACCTGGGGTAAAGAAAAACAGACCTGGTCTGTTGCTCAGTGGTCCCAAGTCCTCTTTTCTGATGAGAGCAACTTTTGCATCTCATCTGGAAACCAAGGACCCAGAGTCTGGAGGAAGAATGGAGAGGCACACACTGCAAGATGCTTGAAGTCAAGTGTGAAGTTTCCACAGTCTGTGTTGATTTGGGGAGCCATGTCATCTGCTGGTGTTGGTACACTGTGCTTCATTAAGTCCAGGGTCAACGCAGCCGTCTACCAGGAGATTTTGGAGCACTTCATGCTTCCTTCCGCAGACGAGCTTTATTTTTTTACTG